ATATTTTTAAAAATGTATATATGAATTTATAACGTTGAAAATTCCTGAAATAGGGTAATATATTTTTAAAAAAAAACTGCCAGGGTTTTTTAAGACACAACAATGGTAATATTTCTTTATCGAAACTATACATGTTATTCTTACATTTGGGATGTCAAATTGTCTATATCTAAAAAGACATATATAATCATTAATTGTACGAACACATAAAAGCATCTACTATGATAAAATTGGAATGGTTTGTTCCATTACATACTATTCATAGTGTCATATAGCTCTATAGTATTTTCATATTTTACATAACAATACTTTCTTTTGTACATTTATCAATAATAAAATCTTTTAATCTTTTACGATAGTAATAGTATCATTGAAATACTTATTGTTAATTTAAAAAATGTTAATGTATAAAAAATAAATTACCTGTTTTTAATAATTAATTTATACTTGTGAATAATATATAAAGAGGTCATCCGTTATTACATTACACTTGTAAATGAGGAATTACAAATATCATTATTTGATTTAGTAAACATATAATACGATGGTACTTTTAGAAAAAAACAATTGGGTATATTTATAATTTTATTGTATAAATATTACTATATTTTAACTATGTATATATTTTTACGAAAAATAAAATAGGCATATTGCAAAGGATGAATATACCCATATATTCCCATTAAACGATTCTATGTAAATGGCAGGAAATTGAATTACCAGATTTACCTTCATAAAAAAGATACAATGAAATGTTTAAGGAAGAAAATTTAAATGATGGAAAAGGGTACTGTAATAAATTCGAAAGTTATTGTACTAATGTTAAAACTTTTTAACAGAGGTGTCTAGTATAGAACTAAATATACGTAAAAACAATTGTTATTACTTTCAATATTGGTTTTTTGATGACTTAAGGGAAAATTACAGTTCTGGGGATAAATTAAATAATCTAGATCTTGTTAATAAATTTTTTGATTTAGTTCCGACTATTATTGAAGAACATACCATTGATTTATCTTGTAATTGCTATTATTCAGGCAATGTGGTTGGGAGGAAAGAAGAAAAAGATTTGCACGATTATTTTGAAAATTATAGTTACATTACATGCAAAAATAAAAATAAAGACAAGTGCGAAAAATATATGGAATATGTCACATACATTATGCATATATACCTAAAGTATAAAAATGTCTGATGCTATGAAGGAGAATTAGAAGAATATTGTGAACCATACGTTAAATAAGAAAAGGAATACAATCCGAGTATATTATTAAATAAATTAAAAGAACAGATGGAACATATAAAAGAACATAATGATAAAGTACAAGCACAAAGATGCATGTGCCAGAAGTAAGTTCGTTCTCAAAAAAGAGTAAGAAAGAAGCTATAGAAATCACATCAGACACACATATATCCCCATCGATTACATCAAGTGAACCTGTTACTGATAATATTATTGAAACGCCAAATAAATTGTTAAATTTAGATAATTTTCAAAATATTATTGTAGCTTCTTCAATAGTAGGAACATTTCTTTTTTTTTTTATCATATTTTAGGGTAAATAAAAATTGAACGTTAGCGTGTAAATATATTATAATGGTATTTATAGTTTATTTATTTTAATATTTATAGTGTATAAATGCATATATCATACACTCTTTATCCTTTTATACTTGTGTATTAGTAAACTCGGAATAGACCAAACATGGATAAATGGGAATAAAAAAAAAAAAAAGAAGAACAAATAATCATGTTAATCCTGCATACGATTTACCAGAGGATGATATAGAATCATTATATGTAAGTAGCAAAAGGGGATTACATCTATATCGTTAATATAAATGACAACATTTTTATAATTATTCATTTATGAAAAAATCCTTTGAATGAAAATATAGAGTATAAGTAACTGTACATACATATGAATAATTATTTTTATTGAGTTACGGAAAAGAGGACATTTATGGACTGCAGTTGCAAAAAATAAAATTAATATGAAATGAACATGTGAACTATTTATAGGGATAAAGACAATATTTTCTCATTAAACTCTTAAAAATCTTGAAAATAGAAAAAAAAAAAAAAAAAAAGTGTCCTAATTGTTATGTACTTGTAATTTTAATTATAATAAATGACTCATCAATAAACAATTATAATGAAAATGAAGAAAAGTATCTATATATATAGAAAAAATTACGTATCTATCATTTGCTAATACATATCTATAGAATTATATTAGGTAAATATTACTGTTAAAAATGCTTAATATTATACATAGAATATATAAAATCTTTAATTAATAAATATCAAATATAATGCTTAATGGAATATCTCCTAAAGCGTGTAAAAACAACTACACAAATACATAGTAATCATGCTTATGCACTATAAAAAGTGTGTCTTAATAGGATATGTTATATTGCCATAAGTGACTATATACATATTGTTATCATAGTAATGCGAGATGCCCTTTTATTTATAATTTTATTTTGTATTAAATTTCATAAACATTTTTAATCATTATTAAAATTATTTTTGTTATCTTTTATTTTACGCTTCTTTATTTTTTTATTAATTTAATATGTAACATAAAAATATATTTATATGTTTCACACATTTTAGAAGATTATACCAGAAATGAGAAATAGTTTGTTTTTATTAGCACTAATTAAATGTGTTTTGCATGTAGCTTCATTCAATATCATTACCCTATATGAAAATACATTTATAAACACTTATTTGTAATGATTATTATTATCATGGATTTATGTTTTTTTTTGTCAGTATATATTAAAAGGAAACTGATTGTGATAATCGAAGAGATGACTATTCATATTTCCTATAACACTAAATGAAAATTAGGATGTTTTCTCTACCAATAAAAAATATTATCATTGAATAAGATATATATGAATAAAAGACACAAATATGAAATCAGATATGATGTTGTATGTACTATCCATACGCTAACATATTTTTATATTTAATCATACATATTTAATTTTTAAAATATACAGTATAATATAATACAATTGGTTATTTTGAAAAAATTGATCCTTATTTATTAAACGGATTAGTTTATCTATTGTTTAATGCTATTTTTTTAAATTATTTAAGCTAAAAAATGACTGCTATATCATTTTCGACATGATTTATCCGTGAAAATATGTACCTGAGCCAATTATATTTTTATTTTTTAACATAATATAACTATGACTTTTAGAGTACAGTAATTTTGTGCACATGATTTTAAGCTACATAATTAATTTAAACTAGTTATAAATAAGTTTTTATTTATGATAGATATATTTTTTATATATTTCATAATTTATATAACATTGTATAATATACAAATTTAATAATTATATATATTATAATAACTTATAAAGAATCAAATAAACAGCAATTTCAATTGTGTAGAATATATTAAATAAAAAAACGTGGTATATATGAATGCAGAAAAAGACTAAAAGGAGGGTTAAATTTTTGCTTTTTGAGGGTTGAGATAATCCAGGGGAATATATTGGGTAACAATATATGTATTTGTAAGGGTTTTATACATACATGAGGAAAATATTTCATCAGATAAGCAACGATCGTTATAAATTATGGATTTAAAATTTTTTGATAAGAAAATACAGTCATCAATTTAAAATAGGGATTTCTCAGAGCTAGATGCTTTAAATTTTTGTGGAAATAAAAAACATGTAGATTAAACCATTGAATATGACATTCAGTAACCGAAATATAATTATTCACTTATTTTATCAATAGAATTATTCCAAAATTTTATATTTTTTCTCAAAAAATTAAGATTATTTTTTTTAATTTTAAAATGTATTCCATGGTTTACATATGCCAATAAACCTGTTTCGTTTTTCAAATATTTTTAAAATCATAAATAATTTTTCATTCGATATAATAAAGTTTTTAAGATAAATTATTAAATAAATTAGTGAATTCTATATAAAGGTAGAAATGTATATAAGCGTGATTATATTAATTATAACTATGACATGTGTAGTCATTATTATTACTGAATTTTACAATTAAAAAAAAAAGATAAAAAAATATTATAACAAAATATAAATATATGAACAATGTTGATATTCACATAGAATTAGAATAAAATTATAATTTTCATATAAACAGGTTGTATATAAAGTTATTTCTAAAAGTAATAGTGTAGACAATAAGTATATTTGGAAAATTTTTTGCTACCATTTTTAAATAATTAATAAATTGTATTAAAATATACAAAAATATTTCAGATTATTTAAGGTATTAAGGGATAAATAAATGTTATTCATAAATAGCTCTATTTATGTAGTGTATTAGAATGATTAAATATTCTTATTGAAAATAAATATATTTATAAAATTCTGCAAAATTCTATAATTTTATTTTTAAAATATATTATATATAATAAATATAATTACATAAAATAATCTACATTTCTCAGATTAGAAAATTTAAAAAAATATATTTTTTTAATAAATTAATTATTAATGCTGTAAAAATTATTTTAAATTATATTAATATGTGCACAATATCTAAAATGTAACATTCATTATGATAATAATAAAATTGAATGAACCTTTCAATTTTCCGCATAATATGTAGAATTATAACTTTATGAAATTTCCATTTCTGAATATATTTAATTTTCTCAATTCAGAAAGAACAAATATATTCTTTTCTTTTTTATATATTAATAAGAATATACTTTTATATAATATGATGTAATTTTCGTGTTATATACACAAATATATTAATTATTTAAAAATTATTTTAATTAATATTTTTTATAAGAACTCATCTTTGAATATTATTAAAAATAACTTTGGTAAATATGATTTATATCTGTTATAGAACACCATGTTGTTCTTTGAATAAATATTAATGTTGAAGTAAAAATATTTTAATTAACACTGTAAGAAATATCATGTTCTCACCATTTTATTATTTTGTAATTTAAGTTTTTATTTCATTTATTTTTATGGTAATATCAATTATTCACAAAATGAATGTGAGAAATAATGCAATTTACATTAGAATATTTACCATTATCCTCATAACATGGATATCTGAGTATCTCAATGAGGTATTATCATAAGAATTGTCAATACTTGTATTTTCTTATAATATTATTTAAATGTAAATGAATCTATCATTAGTAAGAATTTATATTATAACATAATAATAATAACTTCACATTATTTAGCCAATACGTGGAAAATATTTGTGTAACAGATACTATGATGATAATGCATTAGTCTTAAGAAATCATCGGATATTGGCATATAATCAGGGAAAAAAGTTTAAACAGGAAAAATTAAAAAATGGTTTAAAACATAATCAAACCTATGAATGGATGACAAAAGAAGAAATAATAGACTTAATGCGTACAAAATTAAATAAATATAATTGTATTATCAAAGGATTAGTGTTAAAATCTCCAATATACAAATCTATAAAAAGAAATGATGATCTCTTTGAACAAAAAGTATTCAATTATCTAGAAAAATTTTATAAATACAAAGAAAATGCCAATGCGTCTAGTAATACATTTAAAAGGAGCCTATATACAATGTATGATTTATATTTTGTTTTTGGTCTAGTTATTCTGACCATTGCATTATCCATTCCCATAATATCTATACCTGTGTTAATCATTACTAATAAGGATTATAATATGGATTTTCTTACATTTGGAATAGTATCTGCTGCATCATTTTTTACACTCATTATAATATATATATTATTACTTATTCCTATATGCGTAAAAGTCTCAAAGTATTACAGATTAAATAAAGGAAAGTAAGATGTAAGTGACAGTAATGTTATCGTTTTGGAAAAACGAATATTCAAATAAATTTATTTTATTATTATATATATAGTTGCATTTTTTTTTTTTAGTATTCTTAAACTTCTTTGAATTTTATGTCATTTTTGTTTGGTTAAGCATACATGCTTATGCTAATATTATAATAATTTCAATGGATATTTGCTCTATATTTATCTTATATCTATTCCGTTTGTATATTTTATACTCTATAAATTTATATAAATGATTATTGCTATTTTAATTCTATATATAATTAGAAAGTAAACTAAAGTTTTAGATTTTCATTATTAATAATTGTTAATATATTATTATGTGCTTAAATTTTTTTTAATATATTATTTCCTTATGCAGATAATAATTCTATGTATAACATATAATGTGAACTGTAGATTATAGTATAAAGATTTTTCATAATTATATAAAATAATTATTTGAACCATTTTTATACAATATATATTAATTGTTATATTTTGATATGCTTTATCAAAGAATATGTTTCTAATTTGTTTATATTATTTATGTCCTACACACTCTGTTCGTATTTTAACATTTTTTTTTATTAGTGTGATTTTTCCAAGTTGTTTTCTTTATGTTGTCTTTCCATATGTACTAATTATACCTTAAGAATTTTATTTGTTTAATAATTAGGTAAAATAATCTACTTATTGGTGTTTATAATTTTTTTTCACCAGCACATTTTTATCATTACCAAATATTTAACAAATTTGTTCTTTTAGTTTAAAATTTGAATATTTTTCTATCCACATTATTAATATATATGCAGACATGTGCTGTGTTTTAAAAATATTATTATATAATTTGTTAACTATACAGCAAGAGCTAAATATTGTATTATTTAGTTTTGCATTTAAATATTACTGCATATAAAAAACGTTTGTAAAATATTTTATTGAACTTCTGATTTACTTTATAATATTAAAATTTCATGAAATTTTATCTCACTGTTTTATAGCCATTTTATAATTAAAAGCATAAATATGTTATTGGATAACAAACAATAAATTAATGTGAGATTATATAAATGCTCTGATTTAATTTTTGACTTAAATTAACAGATATTAAATATAACAAAATATATTCAAATAATACATCATAGAAATATAAATTACACGATAGTATTGCATTTGAAAGATGTAGTAAGTTAAGCAAAGCTTTCCATATATTTTGTGGGATAAAACAATGAGTAATTTAGGATGAGGTGCATACATATAACGCCTTGTTATATTGTACAAGAAGCCTTTATAATTACGACAATTAATAAATATGTATAAATTGTGAAAATGCTGAATACTTTTTTTATTTTACTATTTCTATACAGTACATTCTAAGTGATTATACTTATTCTATAAATGTATGCTTTTTTAAATATATAAGAGAATTGATTCATAAACAAGAAACACAATTATATATACACATATACCCTTGGATACACAATTATGATCTCACATATAGAAATGGAATGTTGTATGGATTAATAATGATAGTTCCTTTAACGCATTATATATGTGTGAATGTGTTGTAGTTATATATTTTACATGCACATTTATAACATAATAATAGAAAATGGGCTTTTAAATTCAAAGTAAACAAGATCATTGGTCATTTAAAAAGGATATATAATTAACTACGGATTTTATTAAACAGTGAAATAATAATTTTCCTAATTATATAATAAACTTTGATTTTGTTCTGTTTGGTTGAATTGCCATTTTCCTTGACATATTATAAAGTTAAAATATTTTTACTTATAACTAATATTCGCATCATATATTGTTTTCATAATTTTTCATAAAAAATAAATACTGAATTATTATTTAAACTATATGAAATATGTGAAATTAAAATTATAATTTAGCATATACAATGAATATAATACTCATTAAAATATTGTTGTTAGTACATTATGAATTAATCATGTTTTAAATAATAAGCATGATTATGTTATATAATAATACTCACACATATATGCTCCATTATATTATGTGTTTTTTCGTGTTTATTCATATTCAATTAGTTTAAGTAATATAAAGAATTACGTTGATTAAATATAAATCTATATAATAAGCTAAATAGAAATATTATTAGACATTTTATAATAAAGTAGATATAAAAATAATGAATTAACATATATGATAAAAAGTACACAGAATAAAGAAAATTTCCCATTTTTTATTATTTATGGAAGAGATATTTTATATACAAAGTAATAGAAACAATATATATTGTAATTTTTTTTTTATATAAATAATAAAATCACTACGAAAAATGAAATAATTTTAGGAATTCTACTTATATCTAAAAAAAAAAAAAATAATAATTTTTTGTATATTAAAAGAATTTATTTTATTATTTTTCTTTATAAATATATATTTAAATAATTTATATAAGGAAAACTCTTAATAATAGATCAAGTACAAGGCACACATACAACAAAAAAGTTTAAAACATATATTTATCTTATTATATCTTGTTATTCTAATATTTATAATGTAAATTAATATATAATATTAATAAATACCTGGTTAAACAACTTTACCCAAAATATTAAGAAATTTTCATATCTATAACGCAATGATGGGATATAGTAATATTTGTGTTTAATGCAATTAGGGATGAATAAAATTTAAGATGAATAATGAATTTATTAATATGCTTCTATGAATGCCTATATAACAACATTTTATTTATATTTTATATGTTTTATCCTTAATTTTTCGTTTTAGAATTCATAGTATTATATATATATAAATAAATGTGTATTATTTTTTTTGTTTTCATGATTTATTATGCGTATCAATATATCATTTTTCCCACAAAATTATTGTTTTCAACGTGTTCAATTATTTAATTAACTTGTTATTTTTAGTTGTGCCCAATTTAATAAATTATGCAATATTACATCCTAAGCAAACATTCTCTCTTTCATTATTATATGGATGATATGAATCTGATGTGCACTTGTATAATTCATTATCAGCCTTATGCGTATTATATATTATTGCTTTATTTTTTCCAGAAGTGTTAAGTCATAGTTTTCTTATAGGATGGAACTTGTACATTAATGAATTATATAAAATATGCGAATAAAAATGTATCATATGTATTCTTTGATTTGTAACTAAAAAAAGTAAAAACAAATGCAAGTACTTTTTGTAAAAATAAAATAATGAATGATCTTATAAAAAGTACACAATCGGATATCTATGTAAAATACACAATTTAAATTAATGCTTAAAATCTATGGGTCATGACTATTTTGAGAATAATATAAAAATTGTGTTAAAATAATTAAAGCGTAAAATTCTTGTCATAATACTACACAAACTTTTTTCATAGGACATGTACATTCTTAACAGAATATTTATAACCTTCCGTTTAGATTAAAGATTTAAAAGAACACCACTTTTAGGATGTGCATTTTCTAATCTCTTATTAGAAATATTGTATTTTTTTTGTAGAGAGGAACTTATATATCATATTATTATTATTTTATATAAACAGTTCAATGTCATTACAACAATTATTCATGCAAAATGGCATAAAAATGTAAGAAGCAAATAATATAAATAATTAAATGGGGGATATATGGCTCCTTGCAATTGCATAGGTCATCTATAATATATATGCTGTTTATGGATTCATAAAAAGAAAGAAAAATACCTTATATCTTATCATGTAACGTTATATTTTTTTAAATATGCTTTGAATTTTTATGAAATATTGATTAGTATTCGTTACATTTTTCAAAAATAGAAATATTTTGAATCCAAAGTTGTCATGCATTTTTTTTTTTTTTTCATATGTGTTCCATTAGAATTAGAATGTGTTAATAGCATTTAACCTAACTACATATATTTTTTTTAATTCCCTTATTATCATTGTTTGCTTTACTTAAAGAGTGAACATAAGACTTCTTCATCAACCTTGAATTTGTTTCATTTTAATATTTGTCTAGTATTAAGCAAATAAAATGTTTTAAGCTCTTTTATGTTCTTTCTTGTTCATTCATTCATTCTTTCTTTTTTTTTTTTTTTTTTCCTATTCTAACTAGTAAAATTAAAAAATAACTCATTTAAACAGTCATATATATATAGTAAGACATTTTCCGTTTATTGATGCATTTTAATTGAACTTTAGAAACACTTCATATAGTTTTAAAAAAAAATGGAATTGTTAATTTTATAAAGTAATAATAGGATAACATATTTAGAATGGTTTAATAGGTCTTTATAACTTTATAATTGTTCCAATTATATATTTATATAATATATTAGTATAGTGCACACTTTTTATTTTTGTACATGAATATATATTTATATATACATTTATTATGTAATTTAATTTTCTTAATTAAATTAAAACTCTCATGAAAAACAATTTCAGGTGTAAATTTAGAAAATTTGGAACATGTAATTTTTTTCTAGAACAATTATTTACAGTGTGTGCTATTTATATATATCAAATTTCACTATAGTGTAAATTTGTAGGTTTTATTACCCTATGGGGAAATTAATGTATATATAAAAAATAAACTTTTTATGGCTAATTTTTAAGAAGAATTTAAAAAAGAATTAAATTTATATGTTATAAATATGATGAATTGGACAAGAAGAAAAATCCTACTTAATTTGATATATCTTGTGATAATAATGAGAAAAACACATAAAGAAATATATTATTTCAGAATTTTGCTGTGAAATTGCGTATAATATGAAAAAAAAGAAAAAAGAAAAAACTGTCACTTAAAAATAATGAAAGAGGAACCTAATAGTCGATGTGATTATTTTACTTATCGGTTATGGATTGAAATAGAAAAAAATATATTTACAAGTTATTCCCCTCGTAATCGTAACGGGTCTGCTGTTACCTAACATGATTGTGCAAAACATAAGGTTCATACTACAGTCCCTGATAGTAAAAGTTCACATGTTTATTATTATAATTTTTAACACATATGAATAGAAAGTGAGAAAATATTCAAATAAGCACTTTATGTATTATGATCATTGTAGAAGTAGTACCAGATCTCCTTATAAGTACAGGAATAGAAAATGTGTTTCTCATTCTAATAATATGAATATATCAGATAAGAGGCATAAAGACGAATATTGAGTGGATGTCTACTTTGATTTAGAATATTATAAGCAGTTTAAGTGAAAATAAATCGAACAACCCCAATTAATATCTTTCCTTTATTAAAATCATTGTGCAGCTTAAGAGTATAATGAATGTTCAATTTTAGCAGCTAAGGAAATCATTAAAGGAAGAGATATATAAATTGTATTCACAAAGGTTTAAATACAAGATATTCTGCATGATATAAACTCAAATGTAATTAGGTTATTACTGAGTTTGGATTATACGATGTAATTCTATCACAGTATAACATATAAACTTAAGCGTATGCTGTTTCTTATGGTATCACAGGAACGACATTTTAATGAACTCAAATTATTTACATTTTCAAACTTACTAGAATAAAAGAAACAATTTTTTTCTATGGAATTTTACTACAAATTTAAGATAGAATTTTTTTTATCATTTAAAAAAAATTTTACGTTCGTATTAATACTTGTAAAATAAGTATATTTTGTGTATTCTGAAGTTTTATAGGTATATATATCAGTTCCCTCAACTTGCATCAATCTTACACAAAAAAGAAAAGGAAGAAAAACATATTTACATATTGAGAGATTGAAAAAAACGAGGAAGAATCATCATCATCTGATTCAGAAGTCTATTTAATAGATCCATATATAATGGAAATTTGTTTGATTTGTAATCCATCAAGCTAAGCTTTTTAATAATTATGCACAGAAAATGTCAAAATATTTTTATAAGCAACTTGTTTTAATAAAAAAGAAAATGATAAAATGATAAAACTACAAAAAAAAAGGAAAATACATGACTCAATGGAAATGTGAAGTATCTGTAGACATGTAACGTTTTCATGCTTTTAACGACACATTACTGTTAGTGAAATGAAGGTTATTTCATATCCGAGTGTTAATATAAAATGATATATAACCATAAAATTATAAAAATATATTTAAATTTAAGAGAATATTTACACGAAGCATTACGCAGACTTTAAATATAGGATAAAAACATAGATTCACAAATAATAGTAGTGTTATAAACAATTTGTTTTCAGTGAATGGTAATAAAATTAGCTGATTATCCTTGTGAAATTAATGTCTTTTGAAAGTACATTCCTTTTGCACATTTATTAATACGATTAGCTAACTTCAAATTAATTGTTTTATTTTTTATACTTCATATATAAAATGTGAATAATAATAAATTATGCTTCTTCTTTTTCTATTTTTTTTTTCCCCTCATATTTTTATTCCTTAATTTAATTAATACATTTGAATTATTACATTTTTTAGTAAAATATTTACATAGTTTTTTTGGTACATTGTATCTCTAGTGTATTGCCTTTATTATTGTATTATTGTAATGAGTATTTTTAAATTACAACATTTTTATTACCTCGATTATTATATTTCTTTATGAATATGTAGATATAACTTGTTATGTTTAACAAAGTTAAGAATAATTTTTATGAGAATTATAAAGACCAACTTAGGTGGCTATTCAGCAATTTTAACATAGAAGCAGCCAATTGTGATTAATATAAAAAATGTGTTAATGTGATATTGATTATTTTCACACAGTACAAAAATAGGGAAGCTATATTTAGATAACCCCTTTATAGGAATATATAAAAATTTGTTAAACAAACATATAAAATGATTAGTTTACTAAGTAAATATATGTTATAATAATCAATTTGTTGAGATATCAAGAAACATGACTTTATGGACTATTTTTCAGGAAAAAAATATAATAAAAATGTCTTTGCTTTATTTCAGTAATTTTATTCTTACAAAGTTGCCGGGAACACAATTTAATTAATGTCAACATAGAAACACATATCGTTAAGAAAATACTATAATTTGTATTAATGAAAAGTGCCAATTTCTGAAAACAGCATAAACGCGAAAAAGTTTGGCGATTTTATTTTATTTCTTTTTAAAAATAATTTATAAAATAAAATTTATTCAGTGCTTTCATGCATAAATATATTGAAAGTTAAAAAGAAGAGAAATTAAGGTAAATATATGCATTCTATCAAGGTTATTTGTTATATCACAATATATTTAAGAATTATGCTTAAATAACAATTAAAAATGTATTTAAGTACTGTTAAATTTTGATGTTGTTGTAAATATTGAAAGATAAAAACAATAAATTCATATATTATATAAGAAATAACTAGTTTTCAGATGGATCGAGTTATATTCTTTTACAATGTTTATTATTTTTGGTACAACAAAATTTCCATGTACATTTTCAAAGAAGTGTTTTTAAATAGCTGATACACAAATAAGTGTATTTAATATGTAAATTTTTTTCGTGACTTATTGCAGCAACATTACCTTATCATGAATAATAAACCATCTTTTAAATATATACCATATTTGATTACAAGTGTTTTATTTATGACACATTATTACATTTTTTCATGAAAATAAAGGATTCCATTTTTAATGTATAATTTCTTTTTATATATATTTCCTTTTTGCGATGTATAACTTTCGTATATTATAGCTAAGACAGATAAATTATTGTATTCATTTTTTTATTTTATATTTGTGTGCTCAATAAAGAGAATTTTGAAGATCATTTGTCGAATAGGACATTTGCAAAACGAAATTAAATAAAATTTCGTTACACACTTAAGGAAATGTGTAGTAAACATTTTTCCTTTTCTAAGGTTTACAGGACCGGGAAAATGTTACATTTAAAATATAAAACTTTATAAAGTATGCACATCTTATATAATAAAAAATATATTAAGAATAGCATATAGTACGTTTTTTTGATATTTCTTTATCATTTTTTTTCTCTGACTTTTTTTTTTTTTTTTTAATTATTCACTCAATAGTTTTAGTGAATATATGTGTCATTGTTTGTGATATCGGGAAAAATTAGTATCTTTGTTTAATACAACCCTTTTAGTATCAATTAAGATAATTATAATTAATAAGATAATTTTCTTAACACTTGCAATGCAAGCATATTTAAGAAAATAATTCATTCTATAATTAGGAAAAGGATTATATATGTCTTTGTTCTAATAAAAAATAACTATTGAATAAGCATTTTTCTATTATTATAAAATATTTTTTTGGTGTTGTAAATTTAATAGAATTGTACAATTAATATAGTATATATACATGAAGACTTTAAGCATCCATATTTTTTCAACATAATGTTATATTGTTTTACATTATAAATTCAGTTTTACGACTTTAATATAATTTTATTTTTTTTTAATTAAGAATATGTGTTCTATGTTATATTATATTGCTTGAATAACAATGGCAATGATACTTACGAAAGTACCAAAGCAATAATTTTTAGTTCTAGATGTGTTTATTAAAGCTTTAAATTGAACAAAAGATACTGTGCATAATACATATCTACATTATTGCTGTCCTTTTTACTATATTATTATTTATATGCTGGTAATTTTTATATTCTATTTTTTTAATATATATATATACATATATCCCAACTGAATGCAACCTTTTAAATATGGCAGATGACTACGATGTACAGTTTTATTTTTAATTAAACCCATTAGACATTTTTACTTTTATTTATTAGGGCTGTTATTTATGAAATAAAATTTTTTTTTGAAAAATAATGTTTTATATATTTATTCATATTTTTTTCCCTCGCTTCTTTTTAGTACGATCACGTGAAAACCTTTCCTACCTATGCAAGCAAATTTAAAGAACTTGATATATTTTCTGACATAAAGTTTGTAACAAATGATCCTATTGTTAAAACGTGTAAAGAAAAAGCTAAACAACCTGAAGGTTTTTTCTTTATAGATTTGTGTACAAGACTTAATAAATATTTTGACTATTTCAGTACTCTTAAACCATTAGATAGTAAGCATTGTGAGTACATTAATTTTTGGTTAAATGACAAATTGAAAAGTTACAATGAATTGAATTTATATAGAAGGATATTAAATCATGATATATCATTAGATATATTTGATACTAGAATTGAGGATATACTTAAATACAAGTCTAAACTAGGAGTTCTTTCAAATGATGTAGTTGAAAAAATTAATATATTAAATAAGTTGAATGAACAATATCTGTTTTTTTTAACAAAGAAGGAAATTGGTCGAACTGTTGATTCTGAATTATGCGAACATGCTAAAAAATTTGCTGAAATATATAATAAAGCAATTGATGAGTGTTCAAACTATAATAATAAATATTGCAAGGCTCTAATAGAATTCAAAGTTAAATACGATAAACATAACGGATTTACAAGAACATGTCCAAATGTACAGGATTTAACAATAATACCTGGAACACGAAATTATGAATTAGAAATACTGAGGAGGTATGCTTCATTGCACGGAGATGGGACTTATTCTGTAACTGATGTTTTAAAAACACTTGGTAAGATATTAGGAGGAGCTGTCGTGTTATTTCTTATAATGAAGGTTAATAAAAATATATTTAAAATATATAAAAAACTTTAGACAGTGCTATTATGATACCTTATGATAAGCAATTGATATTATAAAATAAGTGCCTCTTTAGGTGAAAAAATTGTATATATAAACATATATATGTATATTTTTTTTCATTTAATATTAGTTTATCCCATTTCGATCATTGGCACATAATAAAAAACGAAAGAAAAAAAAACCTCGTGCTAGTAGTAAGCATCAAAAACGTGATAGTCGCCAAGACTTTCCTAAGCATGAAGATCATGATAATTATACTAGTCATGGTAGTTATACCCATCATGAAGACGATGATAGTTATCGTAGTTATGGAGATCATGATAGTTATCCTAATTATGATAATTACCATGATTATCGTAATTATGATGATTATAACTATTATGATGAAGATCATGGGAATCAGGTATACAATGAGTATCCATATTACAATGATAGCTATAAATCAGTGTCACATAATGGACGATATAACATTCAGTATTATTCTGCACGTGATGATGAATATATGTACAACTGAGATTAAACAGTATTCCGAATTAGTAAATAATGTCATAAAATCAAATTATAATTATATTAAGGTGGAAAAAAAAATATATATTTGCACAAAGCTTGTAAGTTATAAGAAACCACCAACATATTCTTGAGTTTGATACCTAAACTGAATTCAACAATTAAGTTTATAATTTGTTGAGAGAATTTTATTTTGTTATAAGTAAAAGTAAAAACTTTGTGGAAAGTGTCATTAAAATAATACACATCGAAATATTTATGAATTTCATAGAAACCTAGTAAAATAATAGAATAAAGTGATTACAGAGTAGGGAATATAAACAGATAATGAAGTGCGACTTAAAATTTGTGTTGAAGTAACAGTGAACAATGTGAATTATGCAAAGAAATTTTTTATACATATTAGCAAGTAATCAATGTTTAATTCAAATTTTGACACTAGAAATAAGAAATTTAAATTTAAGATAAAATAGATTATTAATATAATAATATATATATACTTTGAAATTTTAATAGATTTATAAGTAATACTGATTTTAGAAAAACTCATAGAGAATAGCTTCGAAGTAATTATTTGATGAATGAGAGTAAGAAGACATTGGAATGTTGTGTTTATCATATGATAATATTAGATGTTTTACTTAATAAGAGAAATTCTTAATTGAAAAGCTGATTATGAATTGTTATATAATACACTGCTTTGTATTAATTATGACATTACTTTTCATAATACCAAGATATAGAGAATTTTGTTTTACTCTATGGTTTAGAAAAAAAATATGAATCACATATTAATTAGTTTAGTATATGAGAATATGTTTTATTCTTTTTAATTATGTATGGATTATTTAATATTATGAAATTATTTTAACTAAATGAAGCTATTTTCGTGTATGCTATTATCATTATATTTTTTGCGGGGAGGTGAAATTGCATTTTATTTTTCAGTTTTGCGCTTTTTATTTTATATTAGGATAATAATATTGGGAAGTTGCCTATAAATGGTATATATGAAGATCTTAACAAGGATGAAACATTAAGAAATAATTATCCTTATTGCAATGATTTAGAAGCATTGAATACACAGTTAAAAACACTTTTAGAAAACTTGCAAAAATTTTGGAAAATAGATAAAATAATAAAAAAAATAGGAGAACAAAGTTTTGAAAATCATTGTTGTACATTTTATTTTCTAGGTATATGAAGAAATAATCAATATATTTAAATTTTCATGGAGATTTGTTTATAGTATAACAAGGGGGTTCAAAAACTTCTTGAAGTGTGCAGTAAAATTATTCTGGAAGCAATGCAAAAAAGGAGTTAATGAAAGAGAAAATTTAAAAACAATACATAAAATTCAAAACATTTGCACAAGGTGAAATACTGAAGATTGATACATGAGACATAGATGTATAATACAGTTAGAGGATAATTACGTGTTTAATTACTACAAAACATTTTTACTTTAGCACGATTGTACTTATAATGAATGTAAGGAAATAAATGATATATATGAATACTGTAAAAATTTTAAAACTATCAAAGAAAAAGTTTTTTTTTATGATAGTTGTTCAAAATAATACTACTTACACGGATTATATTATTAATATCTATGAAAAGAATAGATGCTGCGGCAATGGTAGTGTTCGCAAATGGAATTATAGTGGTTACTATTTTGAGTGTACTAATAATGTAAATTCTAAGAATATTAAAGAATATTCGACATGTGGTTTCAAAAGGTACCCTATATTAATAGATAATTCAAATATGGCAATGGGAGAATTCTTACATCATGATCACCCAGTGGAAGACAACATAAAATTATATTATAGTTTAACCTTTGATAGCGAACATTACCAGTGAGGGAGTACATTACCAGAATTATAATGTGTGAATGATAATATGTATAGTGAATTAGGAAATGTAATTAAACTTCTAATGGTAAGTGAAACAGGGAGATTGTTAAATTTTTCACGTTATAAGAATAAGATGACCTATATATGCCTGATTGTAGGACTATCACATTAAGTATTCGCTTTTTTTAGGGTGAATATAAATTCTAGTTTTCATATGAATACCTAATGTTACGATGTCTATAATAAACATTTCTTAATATGTTATAAACGTATTATGCATTTTTTTTTATAATTTTCATTCTCGCGTTAGTATACGCTCCCTGTATTGTGATTGATTATTAATAATTTAAAGAAAAAAGAAACGAATGATATTCATGATTATTCAAGTATAGAGGATTCATCAATGTATGATTTATGGCATGATAATAAAAATTGGTCATTAATCATCAGAAGAATCTTTGTTTTATTGACATATATTAGGGATATTTTCTTATTTTATATAAATTATTGTGTGAAGTATACAAAAAACATCTAATATCCTTTTGTGTAAAATATGAATAATGTAAGAACAAAAATGTATATAAAAAATGTTTATTTTATCTGATTTAATATAATTCTATGATTTTGAATTTTACCTTTTATTTGTAATTTTATAGAAATAATTTTACTATAGTGTAATTATATTTAACACATGTTTAATTGATTTTTTTTTTAGTACAATATTTATTTTAAAAACATATTATTTTACGTAATAACTCCTACTTGTAATAATATATATTGTTATGTTATTTTTAATAAATTGTGTTGTTTCATATCACACATTATAGTAATAATATCGAACATAAATTTATATTATTGCTAGAATGTTGTGTCAAAAAAAAAAAATGTTGATTAAAAAAATAAGCTAGATGATTATCTATAAATATGGATTGAATTTTTTAATTTGTAAAGAAAATATTTTACAACTTCTGAATTTATGGCTTCTACTATCATTAGTGTTTATATATTTTTATTCATATTTAGTTTTGAAGGTAATATATGTAGATGTTAACTTAACCATATTAAGTTTAATAGGGAGGCACTCATCATGATTAATTTGAAGTTCTCTTAGAAGTTCTCATGATAGTCTTATTTTGCAGATATGATTATAAAATGTTTTTTAATGTTACATGATGAAAATAATTTTTTAATAATTTCTACCATGTATTTTATAATTGTTAGGTGTACTAAGTTATATTATTTTCCTATATATGGTAAATATTATATTTATTAAAAGAGTCAGATTTTAGATGAATTAAAATAAATATCTAGTGTTAATTAACACAAATTAATACATAAGAACTAAAAAATATATTATTAATACAAAGGTGCCATTATAATTAAGATGAATTACTTTTAATAACATATATTGCATAATATTTAGATTGAATATATATTATCTATTAAATTTATTATTTTACCCTTTTTGGGCCCTGGTAAAAAAATATTTTAAGAAGATAAATAGTTATTTAAAAAATTCTGTAACACCCTACATAGAAATTTGTTTATAAAATCACATAACCAATTTATGTAAGATTTAAATACTAGATATAGATTTTATCATGTAATATGTTGCAGAGATCATAAGGTTGCTAAGGAACTTTGTAACAGAATGTTGAACACTTACATGTTTTCCAAAATAATATATATTTGTATTAGGAATGTTTTTAAAATGGTAATATGCAATTATTGTAAAATATATTTATAAGAACAGTTTTAGTAATAATAAAATAACTACATAAAAAACAGCATTCTACTACAAAAATTATAAAAATATCGGTTTGTCACTTTTATATAATTCATTTTCGTACATAATGAAATAAGGAGCTCATTATATACATTTTTTTGAAAACAGAATTCTGTTATGAAAAAAAGGTAAAACTTTTTGATGTATAACGTTGTGCATAAGATATATTATATTATAATTATATTATTTATACATGGTTAATCGTAAATCGATTTGATAAAAAGCATAGAACATGGGAGAATTATTTTCTTAATTACAGAGAAATGTAAGAAGGGATGGTTAATATAAAATAGTAATAGGTCACATGATGTATACATAATGTTGAAACGTATTTTTATTTACCATATTTTGAGTATTTAATAAATTCGTATATTTTTTAAATAATAAAAATTACAATTATGTAATAAACTAATTATTATATGTATTTTTACTAAGTTTTATTTATTTTATATCGGAAATTTTTACTTTTATTATTTTTACAGTTTGGTGTGCCTTTTTTTTTGCATATGTATATTCGGAAAAGCATGATATTTTATGAAGTTATACTTTTTATTATTGATTTATTTACATGGTGATCTATATATTCCTTATATATAATTTATGTATATGACAAAAAAAATAACTAATACAGATCTTTATTATAAGAGCCATCAATTTATTCTCATCATTTTAATTAATGCTAGGATATTTTTCCTTAAGCAAGTAATCTACATTGATTATATGGTATATTTAAATAAGTTTAAAAATATTACAATGTATAGAATTGTTCAGTTATTATATAACCAACAGTATAATTCTAATACAATGTAAACTCTTTGTTATTGCTATGTTTTTTTCTTAACTACTTTCTTATTTAATTTTTAATCAAATAACCTAAAATGTTTCACTCATAGAAAACGGTAACTTGCCACATCATACATATTACTGAGGCTTTAGAAGATATTAACTAAAAAAAATTATAAGTGTTAGAATAAATATGCATAATATTAGAGTACTCATTTTATACTACTCAGGTTGTGTAAATATATTAAATATTGTTATATATTGAATAATCTCGAAAATGTATAAATTATGCACAAATTGAAGTGTTTTTTTTAGTTATATACTACTTTTTATCAGAAAGTTTTGTAATAATTATTTAAAAAAATGTGATTGCAATATTTCAGTGTAAGTAGATATTATGGTCGTTTATAAACTAATTTTTTTTTTATAACACTTCGAATTACAGTGAAGTGTTATATTTTTATGCCATAATATATGAAAAATACAAAATTTTTGGTAACATGGTAATTTATGTTATTATGTAAAATGCAATCATATAGATAGTTCCATAAAAACATATATAAGTATTACAAAAATGAAACATAAGCGAATAAACATCAAGTTCTTTATAAAGCTTATATAAATACAAAAGAAAAAAATTAAATAGTATGCTGTATTTTAAGTATTAATTAGTGAACTTTATTTAATGGTGTAGGTATATTATTATTAAAAAAATGAGTGAAATAAATAGTATTTGAAAAATGTTTTTTACTAGAAATATTATTATATTATCTCAAAAATTATATAATAAAATTAAAATAATGCTTGACAATAATATTACAGGAATTTTTATATGATAATACATTTTACGTATAAAATATAATGAGTATAACAATTTGTTTTCACAATTAATCGCTCTCTATATAGTGTGAATTGTTCGTTAAAATGATTTTGTTCTATTTATGTGTAATTATTATAATATTGCAAATAATAATATAATATATAGGAATTTTATAATTGTAAAAATAATGGAATGTAATTATTATAATTGTTATTATACATATATAAAAAAAATATTATAAATATTTATGATTTTATTGAAATAATATTCCACTTTTTTAGAAAATATATTTATATTAAATTTATGTTAATAATGTTTATCATATTGAAATATATAAAGAAATGTATAATTATTTCTATTCTCTTTTAGCAATAATGTACTTTACAGTTTTAAAAAAACTTCGAATAAAATAAATTACTTAATAATTTCTTACAAACGTGGATATATCATAATACCATTATACATATTTTATGTTTTACATTATTGTGATTTTTTTTCTGTAAGATAAATGACATTTTAAGTATCCATAAAATATCCTCGTTGTCACTGGAAGTATTAGCATATTGTACTATGCAAAAGTGGGAAAAATTCAAGCATTATGAAAAAGGGAAAATTAGTAAAGGATCTTTAATTAATGAAAAAGTGTATGTCATATTATATATTACGTTTTGTTTGATACATTATATTTTTGTTTGTTTATTTTTTTGAGCTTTAACTCACATCTTTATCACACCTACAGCTTTTAAGTAAAATACACTTTACTTTAAATACTTTCTAAAAAATGTTAAATGTAAGTGTTATAGTTTTAATAATTTCATAAAAAAAATATTATAATTCAAAAATTACATATTTTTTTCATTTAAAAAATATGTATATCTTTTTGGAATATTATAAAATGTCGAACTTATTATAGAATAAATATATGAAAAACATATATGTAAGTAAATACATATTTAAAATAGCATAGTCTATATTATATAATAAATAAAATTAGGTATATATTTATAATATTATAATATAGTATATAAAATTTTTTCATATCATTAATTTTGCTCATAATTTTCCTATTTTCGATTTATGTTTTTCCTTGCTTATTTAAGAAAGAACATTAATTACAGATTATTTTTACCTGTTAAAATAAGTAATAGAGAAAAAATGAAAACATTAATAGTTTATAAATTATTTGTTTCATACTATTGTGTATATATTTGTTTAGGAATAACGTTACCTTTTATTTAATTTTACATGGAGCTACGTAAATGGAATCTGCTAGTAGTGAAGAATGGGTATGTTTAATTTTTTTTTGAAAAATACATTAATTTATTTGTTGTAATTGGTGATAAAAATAAAAAAATGAATCATATATGCAAATGTATAATAACAAAATTAATATAATTAATATTTTTTTTTTGTCTACAGGAGGATATATTAAAAACGCTACCTTCACATAAATTATATTATGATTTTAACCAAGTGGTAGAATCTGACAAAAAAAATGTATATGAAGAATATTGCAGTGAAATAAGTACTTATAAGAATGAATTCCAGTGGCTCCCTGATTTTTGCGTTCAATTTGCAAAAAATTTAACTAATGTTAATATAACTAAAGATGTAAACTCAAAACATAGTTGTTTACTATTGAATTATTGGATATATGAAGAAATATTGAAAAAGCACAAAAATAAAACGGATAATGTTTACGACATGAAATTTTTTCGTAAGATTTATGAAATAGGGAAAAAAATTAATGATAAAAAATCAGATGATTATTATTGTGCTTGTTATTTTTATGGCACTTTGGGAGAATGGAAAGAAGAAAAAGATTTACATGACTATTTTAAAAATTACGAAGATATTAAAAAGAAAATTAGTTCCATTAGTAATGAATGCAGTAAATATCACACCTATCTTATGTATATAAAAGAAATTTATAAGGAGCATGAAGATATTTGCTGCATTTTTGGTGATATATATTGCCATCGTTATTTTAATTGTGATTACAACAAGAGTCCAAGCAATCTGATATCTAAATTAAAATGTCATAACCAGGAAAAAAAGGAATATGAATTAGATTCTAATGATGAAGAAAAATCTGAGAATCCAAAATTAGAAAATTCCATGATAATTAAATATGGGAGATGTATTAAAACTAATGATGACAAAGGTGAAAAGTTAGGATATAAGTGCGTTTTTCCAGAGAATCAGAAATTAGCACAAGAAGGAGAAACTTCTGATAGTAATAATAGAAATGTAAATTTAGGAAATTACATATCAGCAGTTGACCTATCGACGTACAAAAAATTGGCAGAAATAAAAGTTAATTCTTATAATAATCAAGGTAATGATGCTTTTAACAAATATTTACCAAAAAACATGCTAACATTATTTTCTGATGTTCCAATTAATGTACGAAATTCCTATTTTGATATAGAAGAATTATCTTGTTTATATGGTAACTCGAAAAAATCAGAAATATGCAAAAAATTTAAGGAAAAGCGTGAGCATGAACTTCTTGAAAAAATAATAAAATCTAAGGGATTAGTGGGTGGCGTAAATAGAGAATCCGTTAAAGTGAGAGGATTACCAGGTGGGGAAAGTGCAACATCTGTTGAATACAACGATCAATTAGATGTTGTAGAATCAGGGCATGATATTATGAAAGGCACTTTATTCCGTGTTGGTGCGGTAACTGTATTAAGCCTAGGGACGATTGTTCTACTTTTTTTATATTACAAAGTAAATTTAAAATTGAAGCTAATAAATAAATATATATATATATATATATAATGTTACTATTTGCACTTATATTTATAAAACTAATGCATTTATAAATTATTCATATTATACATTTACAACATTTTTAATTTTTATTCTAGTTTACACCATTTGGCTCATGGTTAAATAGAAAAGTATTGAAGAAAAAAAATAAAAATTATAATTTTCAGGAAGGGTTTAAGCGTGAATTAATAAAAAATTCATCACAAGGCAATCGTATTTATTCAAAAAAAAAAAGAGTTCCTATAGCTTACCATCAAATGCATAATATATAAGGGTGATATAGCAATGAGTTTCACCAGTATAAGATTATAATAAAGAATTCATTAAATTTTTTCTTTAATTATATTTAATGAGAATATAAAAATGAAATTTACTACGTGAAAAATATATTCATGAAATTTAAGTAGTAGCCTTTTATATGAAGAGCTTTTTATTTGCTATTTTAGAAATATTTTTCTCATTGCTTCTTTTATGGTAACAATATAACTTTCATTTAGTAAAATGCATTATAATTTGATTTTTTCATTAAAAATCAAAAAAAATAAAAAAAAAATAATAATAATGATACATGTTTTTTGTTATAGTGTTTATTTGCTAAGAAATCAAGTTGTAAAATTATTATTAATTTTATTTCATTGCTTTACATAATATTTAAGGCTTATTATAATTTGCTTATATATATAATATTTATGGTTCACAAAGAAGAGGCATGTTCATAAATTATTTGTTATGATAATATATAAAAGAAAATACAACATGAATTATTACAATTATTGTAAAAAATATTATAAATTAAATATGATATATTTTTTTAAAAGTTCATTTTAAATCAACAATATCTTTTATATTAAAATTTTATGAGAAGTTAATTATTAGTAATTTAATAGTTTTATTTATTTTTTACTTTTCGAACAAGTGTAAAAAAGATAAATTATTAGAAAAAAAATTACTTTTATTTTTTAATAGAAACAACTAATGTGTATATAATGATAATTCCAACATGAATAATATAAATTCTAAATATAATTATGTATATATATGAGTTTATTAAAAATTCCTAATCGTAGGAATGATGTTACCTTAAAATATTCTACCTTTGTACACAAAATTTTATAGTATAAGATTGTTACATAAACAATATAAATTATTATACAGTTATTTAGATAATATAATTTGTATTAATTAGTAAGATAAAATAATTTTAATAAAAATATAATGTTTACAAAATTCTTAATATAAATACATACGATTCCCAATTAATTCATAAGTAAGGGTCTCAAATCAACTTTATAATAAGTATCAAAATTATAATTCCCTTGTCTGAAATATCATTAACTTTTATTGAATATAGTAGCAAATTGTATTATTTAATTTAATTAATTAGTAAATATTATGACTGTTTTTCGTAATTAATATATTATAATTGAATAATGTAATTCATAATATTGGATGTAATAAGGAAAGTATTAATAAATATAGTAGTTTTTAAAGTACTTAATTACGATTTTTCATAAATAATTAATATATTCAAGATAATAATTATATTTTTTTTCGTTTATTTCCAGCATGTTTAAGTTTAATTAGTATAAATATTTTTTAATGTTTAGTGTAAACATTTTTGAAATACGATAGATAGAATTTTTATATATTTTACTTATTATGTTTTATTGATTAATATGACTATTTGTGTTTCAGTATATTTTGTTTGTATTGATACGCCTTTGCACATATTTTCTTTTAAAGTATATTCCCATTAATAATATTACGCATATTTATATCCCATATTAAGGTACTTCCCACACCACCATATGAATAAAATGGTTCATTTAAATCATCAAATAATCTACATTCTATTTCATTTATAATAATTATGATATTTTTTTTTTTAAAATCCATTTCTGAAAAATCTTCTTTTATAAATAAAAATGTTCTAAAATTATAATGTAGGAAATACATAATATATTTAATTATCACTTATGTCTATGCAATATAAGTTATTAAAATGACTATTTTATTTGTATATATAAATAAAATTCCTATTTACTTTATATAAAGTGTAAAAGAGAAATAGAAATTTCAATTGCTCTAAGAAGTAGATTACCTGATTTTTCAGGAAGATAGGAATTGCATCACACTTACTGTAAATCCTAAAATTGTTTGATTCAATTTATTTATTACATACAGTTTGAAATATGACAAACTGAGCACTCCATCTCTATATAAGACGTAGTTTATGATAACATAATTGTTGATCATGTATTAAGAAGTTACTATAATAATGTGGGTAGTGACGATATCCACCATAGAACAAATTTTAATGATATAGTAATATAAAGGATTATCTCTATTAATATTTTTGCAAGTTTCTTAGAATTTGTATACTATAATTATTATAAATTTTAGTATACGTATAATAATGAACACAATAATGATATAAATCCTTACTTCTTTGCAATTCATGCTTAATGGAGATTTTAAAAAATCTGGATTAAATTTGTTGCAATAAGATTTTTTTAATAAATTTTTAATAAGTCTGTACTATGTAATTTGATATTCACCAAATCCAAGAACAGAATTAGAAGTAGCATTATATTTAATTCTTCAGCGTTGTTTATAACGTAACTAATAATTAAAAAGCATGAGCTAATTTTACACCGGCTTATTTGTATTTAATATTGTGCCTGAAGTTATTATGTATCTTATAAGTATAGAAAAAATACTTTCATTCTCAAAAATTGTGTTTTTTATACAAATGAACCGTATTTACCATATTTACCATAATATAACTTTTAATCTCTATAGTTATATTTTGAGTTCTTATAAAAATTATCTGATTGTAATACTAGTGTCTTTACATCAATAAATTAGTAAATATACAGTAATAAATCAATTTTGCAAATAATAGTGAGAAAGGCAAAATTTATAAATATAACCTGTCCAAAATAAATGAGCACATTTAGCATAGAGATATGTTAATCTCTTATTTTAATTAATAAAATGTGTTTTATACATATTACTTTTAAGAAGGGAATAATGTGAATTAAATAAAAAAAAATTTATTATTAAAATTAATTTAAAATTGTAAAATAAAATTTATTTATATATAAGTTTATAATATCATTTAATCATTAAAACCTGCATAATATTATATATGTTATGCGAAGCGTAACTACAAGATAATATTTGTTTCAGATAATCGAGAAAAAGCATTATATTACATATATATACTATAGAAGGTAGCATTACGTGTCTTATATTAAATTTTTTTTAATTATTATATTCATAATAATTTTTCTTTTATCGTTTTACATAACAAATTAGTAATAGTTCATTGCATAAGACACAATCTTAGAATACGTTAATTTATATATTTTTTTCCTTAAATTTCACTTAAATTTAAATTATCTGTTAACTTTCTATATTCACTTTTTTTAGCATTTATCAATTAGCATTACATTTACTCAATATTCCAAAAGAATAAATCGCGAACATGAAGGAAAATAACATATATTCTACATATCGTATTGAATAAATAATGAGCAAAAGTTATAGACGCTATATTATAGGTATATATACATGCGTTATAATACATATTATTATAACAACATTCATTTTATATGTTAATTAAACTGCGAATTTAAAACGGCGCTTATATTATACAAGTATCTATAAAACAAATATATCTCAGGACAAATTTTAGGTGTTAAAGAAAAATTAGCTTCACTCATTAATATATTTTTTAAAACATAAGTTATTTTAATTGTGAATTAAAGATTAATACATATTATTTTATATAATTGATCATTTTAACTTTTATAATTTATAAGACTTATATAAATTCTCAACGCTATATTAGTATAATTATCGAGAATTTAACGATACTGTTCCTTATTTACAACAAAATTACATTTTGATTTCCTGATACGTGCTATAATTTTTGTGTAATTTATGGTATCATTATAAAAATAGTATATTATGTTTTAATTTAATTTAATCATTTTTGAAAATATTACTATTTTAAATTCGACAATGCATTGTTCTGATAAAGAACTATGTTAATTTGTTAGGATATACCCATAAATATGTTTTGTGTATAATAACGGAATTGTTATTCACTATGATTAGTGATTTAAGTAAATTAATTAAATTAATATATATTATTTCTTTAGATAAAATAAATGTATATTTTTTTTTTATGAAACTTGTATTTAAAAAAGGAATTAAAAAAAAAAAAAACCACATATATTAAAATTACATTATAAAACGATTGTAGTAATTGCATACATTATGTTTTTATTAATTTGATAAAAAAAAAATTTATAGTTTTCTTCTTACAGCATACATCATTTAATTAAATTATAGATATAATATGTTATTTATTATTACAAGTATATTCGATTTAAATATGTTAATATTATTTGTTGACATGTTTATTTTATTATTATATATGATTGTAACATAATAACATACCGATATTGTGTGAACAATAATTTAAAATGTATAAAATGTTATTTATTATATCTACAATATTGTGTTTCTTGATGTTTGTAAAATAAAGGAAATTATTCTTTTTTTTATCGGATAGAGTTCATGATGTAAACGAAAAATATAAAAAAACAATTAGACATTTAAAAATGTAATAATTTTATTTAATTATATTATTATGAGATAGACACGAATTAAAATAAAATTCTACCCAATTAATTAAAAATAAATTATGTCAAATCTATTAAAACTAAAACAAAAATTCCATTATTATTGTATTTATATATGTTGTTATAATTTAAAGTATAAGAATATTGTTTTGTAGATTGCATAGTATATCTTTAATAAGGGAGTGATATGTATTTTAATTTTGAGTTTACCTAAAAAAATATGTTCACCTGTTTATATAAATTTATTTTTTTCTCATTAATTAGTGTCCTTATCAATTTTTGCATTTCTAATAATATATACATTATTAATGCAAATATTCATCAGTTTTAGTATATTTTGAATAAATGTTATTATATGGAATTATTTTTTTATTAGTATAATTACAAAGAAGTTTCTTTTTAATATGTTATATATTACTGCGAGCTTTATTTTTATTAGTACTTTTTATAAAATAGTAGTATAATTAACATTCATTTAAATTGTTTATAGAAGGATAATTTATATATATACTATATTGAATATATTTCATTATGATGAATAATAGATTAATCTATGTTTAAATTTACAGGTATTTAATTTTTTTATTTGGTTACATTTATAGGCAATAAATTTAAACATAAATACATGAAATTGATCACTGTTTATTAATATATTTATAAAGAAGAAAACACGTTTTGAAAAAAAAGTACTTAATGTTTAGTTAATATTATCATATTACTAAAATAAAAAATAATTTGTGCCAAGAGCTGCATAATCAAAAATACATCTATATGAAGCACATGGGGTTCATAATTACTTGCATGTATATACTTATACTAACATAATAATTTTAATAAAACACAATCCACACATAAAAAATGCATTTAAATAATTACATTGAGAGGTTAATAATTCATTCAAATGAAAAAGATATTTCATGAAATTCTTTACAATTATATATATATATATATTTACGTGTATTTATCCTTCTAAATATTCAGAAATATACTGATTTACAGACGTCCATTTTGAATCAAAATATTTTTAAATATTTGATATCACACATTTAATAATAAAAGCACGAATATTTTAAAATAACTTTTTGAAAGCTAAAAAATAATCACTTAGACTATGTCCATCCTTTTTTTCTTGTAAAATAAGAAATTTTAAGGTTTTTATAAAAACATATATAAGCACGAGAAAAGATATAAAAACGGGGACTATTGCGCCATATGAACATTGGGGTATATTATTTCTCACTGCTGAAGAAGTAGCAACACACGACAGATTTATAACAATAGGTAAAGCCAACAATATAAAGATATCTCTGCATGCTGATGTTTTTTTTGTTTTGAGTTCAATACTTTTGTCATCTTCAACATTATATATGGCATTAAGTCTATCGAATATTTTATTTTCACAGTAGGAGTCGAAGCGTTTAAAAATAGCAGGTTTATTATCTTTGTTTTTTTTATCAAAATTTTTGGTTTTCATATCTGAAATCTCACCATTTGATTCACTTTCTGTATTACACTTATATAATAATCGACTTGTTCTTAAATATAATGCCTGGTTTAATTCTTGTATACCATCAACTGAACTATTATGAGTTCTCTAAATGGTTAAAATTAAAAAAACAAATTGAAAAAATATATATATGTTTTTATGAACTAATACATATGTTACAAAAAAATAAAATCATTGGACAAAAGAAGATATGTTAAATTTTGTAATTTTACATCATAATTGTGATGATATATCCAAACAAAAAATGAGAATGCAAAAATTTTAGTAAATTGGAGAAATTTAAAACTCCCTGCCATGGTGTTCTTTACATTTGCTATGCGTAAAATAATATATAAGTATATATAAAATATAACAAGACAATGTGCTTGTTATAGTTATAATAATGTAATTAATTATTTTTATATATTTTAATTACAATTAATTAAAATATATAGATGTTTTCCTATATATATATGCGTAGAAGTTTAAAATTAAAAATAATTTAGTAAATTTGTATTAGGAAACTATATATACATGTGGTAAAATTTCAATAAAATTTAGTTGAATTCACTTGTACATGTTTTAAATAAATAAAATCGCGATTTAACAGAGTAAGATTTAATAATTGATATGTTAGATTATTTTAAATTATATAAAGGAATATGGGGATAAATTAATAATACAAAATATCTTTAGATATAACAGCGAAGATGGAATATAGGTAGAAACAAATAATATACATAGTTTTAAAATAATAATTATGAAGATAATTTTTCTGTTAATGAATTCTTATGATTTACATTTTATAATCCTTAAAAGAGTGATAATATATATCAAAAATACTTGTTGCATGAATAAAATAAAATATTTTTACGTTATTCAATATTTTATATGTATAATTAGAATTAATATAGAAAAAAAAAGAATACAAACATTTGTTTATAAATAATTAATTGTTAAAAATGCAATATTTTTAACTTTACAATTGTTAACAGGATTATTATTTGAACACATTAAAGTCTACAAATTATTTTAATGATTATATTATTAAAATAATTTTCGAATTTTAAAAATGTTGTACTACAGAATGAATTAATTATTATTCTTTTTTTATTTTCCATAAAATTGTTACCTTCTACACAGCGTAGTTAATAATAAAAAGTGAAGTGTTAGAATACAATTGGTAAAAAGTTATTATTTGTAGAACTTCTAATTTGGAAAACATTTTTAAATATTTATAATATATAAAACAAGCAGTAATACATAAGATATAAGTATTAGGAATTTTATGAGAACCATTTATTACATATAATTTTACTCACTTATTTAAAAAAAAACATAAATATTAAGTTATTAACATTAATTTTTTTAATTTCAGTATACATAAATAAAGTGGATGTATTTGAAAATTTTTTTGTGTTAACAGGATGTTCTGGGCAACATTTATAATGGATATTTTACATTAAAAAAATTCACAGAAATAACAACACGCGTTAGATTATTTTTCATGTGATTTAAATATTTATTGTAGTACATTCTTCAGTGTGAAAAAACCATCCAATGAAAAAATTATTTATTAAAAAAAAAATAAAAAATATATATTATTGATTTTTACAACATTATATTTAATATTTATAAATTATTGTTAAAAATTTTATATATCTATATATTTTTATATATAAATATATTGTTTTATAAGGATCTTAAGGAGGGTTAGCTTTTTATATTTACGCAGTTTTACCTATTTTATTACAAATATATAAATTGAATATTTATTAAGTCGTTTTTATAATAAATGATTAGATATTGTCATTTGAATTATAGCATAAATTATAAATGTACACACTTTAGATTAAGCAAAATAGTTAATAAGACTTTGTGAATAAACTACTACACCATTAGACGTATCCTTTTACACCAATATTTCATTTGTCTATTCATTGTTCTATATATATTTGTGCTTTTGTTTAATGTACGCGTATTTTACATTACAGTTAGGATAAGTTTGTATTTATATACATATAAATGCTTCCGTAAATACAGTGTGATTATAAAATGTATACATAATTGCAATAGTAAAATAACACATCACATTTTCACTCTTACAAATTAATTTTTTGCGTTGTAATTTCCGAGATTTATTGTATTTGTTTATTTATTAAAACGAATTTTATATGTTATATATATGTATACATATATTTTTTTAAAAGGTAAAGCTGTGAAGGAAAATTGAAGCATTTTTGAGCATAATAATTGGTATAGAGGTATACTTCTTGTTTTTTTTGTACACAATTTTTAATAAAAAATATGAATATGCTTGTGTGCTTATAATATTATAAAAAATAAGACATGTCTAACATTAAAGAAAAATGAATAAAATGTTTATATTTTGCTAAATATATATATATATATATATATATATATTGAATTTATATAGATGTCTAAATTAATAAGGGACACTATTAATTAGTCTATTTTTTTATGAAAAAGCACACGATACTATTTATGCAAGGTATCTTTTTATAAAAAATCATAGGGACGAACGAATAAGTTAATTTTTATTTAAGTGAATTAAATAGTATCTGTACACTTGATATACAAAATATACTTTATTTTATTCTCATTTTGATGTGTACATTATTGAATATACTTTAATAAAATAAATGTCTATAGAAATTTATTTTTATATTTTACTTTACATCCATTTTCATAGGCTTCCTGTAGCATAAATGCGTATTTTTTATAAGAAATAAATTTATATCGTTTTATACAGATATATATATATATATAATACAAGATAGATGACATGAATTTATATAATATATATTCATATATCATTTTTTTTTTTTAAGCATTTTTACCTATTGTGTCTAGTAAAATAAGAATTTAATAAAACACTAACAATATATCAAACAAATGATAAATTTCTGGAAATAATAATATCATAATAAATTTATTTTGAGAACAATTTTATTCTTAAGTACCTTTTATATCTTTTGACATATATTTGTAAAAGTTTTCTTTTCCCATTTTTTTACTTTCCCCAAACGGAACTAAAATTATATTTTCTGTATAACATGAATGGGTGCAATTTTTTAAAATAAAATATATATAGAATATATATTACCCATTATATAAATTATAAAGAATATATAAATGAGCACTTTTATTACTACATTTTAGTTCTAAATATAATTTTTATTATTTATATAGCAATAATGAGTCATATTCATGAACTACTAATTAATATGAAACTGGTATAAATTAAAGATTCACATGATAAATGTGTTATATAGATATGTTCTAGAAATCCTATGTAATACACTTTTAATATTTTAAAAATTTCTTTTTTTTGAATGATTAAAATATTGATTACCTAATCTTAAATAAGGTATTAACTTATTAGACAAGTAAATGAAAGCTCATATCTCGATAATGTAATTATTATAAAAGTATAGACTTATATTTCTTTTACAATAATTAATATTTACGATAAAATAAGTAACGTAATTATTATAGAGTATGTGTGTCTTATATTCGCAATTCCCATGTTGCTTCTTTAATGTGTGCAGACTACAATTGTAGCAGATGAAGTAGCAACTTTTTTGTTTATTATTATAATTTGTATTGTTATGAATTTATTAAAATAATAGAATCCTCAAAATTTGTAATTTATTTATCGCGATATATATTTTGAAATGTGTGAAAAAAGAAAATACACATAAAGGAAAACTTTATTTATTTATGATAAATAGTACAAACAAGAAATGAAATAAAGATATAGAAATAATATATTAATTTTTTATTTTTTTTTACATACTTATTATATATATAAAAATGCAATAAAGCAAGAATTATATATTAAATCCGAGAATAATGGGAATAATCCATGTAATCAGGATAATATGATTTATCCTTAGTGGGATATATTAAAGACAGTTTATCTATATCCTTAGATCATGTGCATTCATTAAATCACTAGAATGACATACGTTTCATAATTGTGGATTAGATAAATTACTCAACATATTATCTGGTAGAGTAATACATTCGAATATTGCAAAATTGATAGGTATAAAATGATGGAATTCATGAATTATCAAAGTATAATATTAAGGAAAATATGAATAGCCTTTAATTGGGAAAACGTCAGTAATCTCGATGAATGCATAGAATTATGATTGAATTTTTTATTATATTATTATAACATATTATTATTACAAGTGGGCTTACATTTTGATTTTAGTAGAATACAGAAACACACATGTTTTAGCTGCCATTAGTGTGTTTCACAAATTTGTATATATATATTTTTAGAAGAAATAATAACTTTTTAAACACGTACTGTTTACGTGACAAATTATAAAATAAACGAACACTTTTAATTTTTTTATATATTTTCTTACATTTTTGGAATCATTAATTAGTCTATCAAAAAAATTGATAGATTTTTAATTTGTCTCATGAAGAGTGTGTGAAATTAAATGATTTTTCGCTTAGTTTTGACATATAGAAATAAATGAAAGCCCTTAAAATTAAACATTTACGTATGATAAAAAAATAATAATTTAAATAATGAAATTTCAGAAATATTGAACAATGAGTGAAGCACAAAAGTATTTATTCTATTTGTACTACTGAAATATGTTCCTAGTGTGTGAGCAATTTCTTATATTTCAAGTTTAAGATGTAGTAATTGATTTTAAAAAATATCACCATAACACATATAGTTATTTTTATATAATACTATTATACCTGAAACATAAAAATGTGCAATTATTTTAATCCGTTAATATTCACAATTTATGAGAAAAATTGGATATATGGAACACAGCTTAAAAGCAAGCAATAGACATTTCAATAATTTTTTTTAAGCAGAATATCAACCAGTGTCATTATGGTAATATTGCAAAAAAAGTAATTAATAAAATATACTATATAATAGCATCAAAAAATATATTTATTCTACATTAATATTTTGTTTTACACAAAACATAAGTATGGGCATAAGCAAATCCAGTGTATAATATATTTTATAGACTATGTCAACAGATTCTTAAGTTAAGAGCAAAATTTTTGTATTTTTAAAGATAAGGAAATTCATTTAGTGTTAGAAACAATGTAATTTATACATTTTTTATAATTAAATAATGTTTTAATGAATTTTTTATAGAGGTGTATTTGTTTATAATGTTATACTATGTAAAAATAAATGTTCATTTTTTTAGGACAAAATAACTATAAAATAAAAAGAACTTTTTTTTATCTTATGTATTTTAAGATGTAGACTGGCACTAATGAAACTCTTGATTTACCTACTATTTTTTAATTTTAGGAAATACTTAAAAATTATAAATATAATTATAAACTTTTTCTGAACTTATTTATTTTTTACATTGCTCATTTACGATTATTTGTCATATAATAGCCTACTATGTTTTAACATAATCGTTACTAAAATTATTTATATAATTTCTGCTGAAGATGGGTAATAAGTTTACTTATGTTGTCAGTAGTGTAGGAAGTCGTAATGCCACAAATTAACACTGTTCAGAAATAATTTTCAATGTCATAAGGCTGTTATTATAGCAAATTAGAAGTTCAATTTTATCATAAATTATCGCAATTATCTATAAATAATATTTATAAAAACGCACAAATTATTTCAGTTAATATTTCTTTACACAAATTAAAAATAACATGTTTTATTTATGACTCAAGAAATTTTATAGAGCACACAGTTATAATTTATTATTTTAAAATTATTACTGCGTTATTTATATTTAGGCTAAGATTTAAATTGCCCCATCTTCCTTCTATTCTTGTGATAATCAAATGTACAATATTCTTTTATCTAAATAGTCAATAATAACGTCAAGGAAAGCATTATTGCCATGCTTGAACACACACACGCTTATAGGTTCTAAATACAAATATAGAAGATTGCATAAAATAAATATATATGGGAGTATATATTTTTCCCTTTTATGTATTAATGCATATAGTTTGAAAAAATTTAGAATTTTATAAATATAAATATGTTGAAGAAAAATAGTTATGGAGCCGATAACTGTGGATGATGTGGTAATCTCATATTTAGATTATTACGTGTGCTACTTTATTTATATTATTAGTATTTTTTGTGAAAAAAAGGAAAACTATATTATATGAAGCATAATTTTTTTAATACCTAGATAATATATATTTTGTGATTATTTTCAGGAAGAAGTTGCAAAAAAGTTAGATCTTGACAAGATCTATGATGATTTCTTTTTAAATAGTGAAAAATCTAAATTCGTCACTGATTGTGACGTATTCGACAATGAAGGTAAAAAAAGTGAAAATGCAAAAAAAATTTGTTCTAAACTCGTTTATTTTTTAGAAGAAATAGCAAAAAATAAAAATCAAGCACAACGTAATGATCAGTGTAATTATTTAACATATTGGTTTTATGGAGAAATAGGGAAAATACACGGCAATCACTCAGAAAATATAAGCGATGTAACTTTTGTTAAAGATCTTATTGATGTTGGAAAAAATGTTTATAAACGAATTCATGGGTTTAATAAGTGCGATTTAATATCTGAAAAAGGCACCAGTTTGGATGAGTGGACAAAGAGGAAGATCTCTTATATTTATTTTAAAAAATACGATGACATTAAAGATGTTGTTTCTAAATCTCATAATAAATGCAACGAGTATTTAAAATATCTTAAAAATGTTAATTCTTTGTATCAAAAGTATTATAAAGCAAATTGTCAGAGATTTTTTTGGTGGCCTTCCCCTAATTACATTAATTGTAATAAGACGCTTAATCCCAATACACTTATAACTATAGTAGAAAAATGTAAAACTGAAGTACCTAGTGATGTCAGATCGTTATGGAGCATTTTTGGTATTCTCAGTCCATCTGGATCGCCTCGAAATAAAGAAGCAGGATCAGGGAAAAGTACCCAGGATGCTGAAACTGCAAAAGTTAAATCAAAAGCACTTGAAAAGGTTGGTGGTGATAAGGCTTCAGCAAAGATAAGAGAATTAACAGGTGCTCCACTTGATAGACGTGTAGAATCTGCATTTGTGGAAGATCAATCATCACCTAGTAGAAATGGAGAATCAGCACCTGTGAAAGTTCAACCACCATCTATAAAGATAGCTGAAGAACCTGCAAATGTGAGTCGACAAGTTCCAATATCACATATCCCCACCGATAATACATATACTACACATGCTACATTCTCTGAAGTCAGCATCAACAGTTTTGATTTGCCTAAAAAAATATATGAAACATTGAAATTTCTAAATTTTCGGAAATCATTTGCATGTGCTACAATAATTGCAGCAGTTATCTTCCTTATATTCTTCTTTAGTGTAAGAAAAATTATACATTAAAACATGGTAGTTTTGTAACAATTTGTACAAATTCTATTTCTTAAATGCATATTTATTAGAAAACCAGGTTTTCATTTTTCACTTACTCTTATATGTTAGTCCTCTCGTTCAGAACGAAGACCCAGTAGTAGGATAAAAAAGGAAAAGAAATACAAGAATGATGTTAATAGTGATTCTGAAGAAATATTATCAGAACACAAGCCCCCAAATCCTCACTATATTCAAGAGAGCAGCTCAATATATTTGTCTTATAATAGTTGACCTAACTATTATTATCAGTACGTACTCTTTGAATATGTTTGAAACCACTTGAGCAGAAAAAACAATCAGGTTTATTTGAGGAATTACTATTATTATTAATAAAAATAAAAAAACAAATATAATGGTTTAATGAGAATATAATTATTGAATACAAATATTTGTAGAAAAAGGTAGAAGATTTATCTAATACATAATACATCTATTTAAATAACTGAAAAATAGGGAAATTGTTCAGATTTTTATATAATTTTAAAATAGTAAAAAGACATGACACATCAGATCAATAGCTAAAAAATAGATATGCAGTAAATAAAAGACATTATTATAATAAGAATGTTTGAAGCCATTGATGTATTTTTATTAAGTATGATTAATGTAAGATTCTTAATAGAATTATAAGATGTTATCATAATTAAAATGTTTAGAAAAAAAAAGGTGTTAACATCTTAATTATGAAATGAAGAAGAATTTACCTTATATATCAAAACATTCTTGTAAAATATTTCTTCAGTTTTAAAAAAATAGTACTTGTTAACATTTACAAATATTTGTATTAAATAAAAAGTTAAATAAAAGAATTTAATGAAAGTAAATATTCCCAGGATTACGAACCGTTTTAATGCAAAGCAATGGATCTTTTTTTTTTTAAATAACGAACTAAATTTTTCAACATTTGGTTTATGCTACATATTTTTTATGTTTATACACATTAATATATTTTTCTTTGAAATTTTTTTTATTTGAGGATAGTTATACAATTTGTTGTTATAAGCGTGTTAAGAACTATGTGAATTGACTTAGCACTTTACAAATACCTTTTAAAAGAAGGGGAAAAAATGTGTGTATAAATTAGTATATCAAACATATGTATGTGTTAATTTATATAAACATGTTTTTGTAATTTATAAATTGAGCTTTAGTGTAATAATTTTTTGTTATAACAATGTTTACCCTTTTAACATGTCTATAAAAGCGATTTATACTTGTAGCACTCATGTAACCAACCAAGGTATATATTATTTTGTGAATTATATATGCTATATGATTTAAAACGAATACATAAATGAATGGCTTTTTTAATTTAAATGTTTGCGTTTCTCCTCAAAATTTGTAGTTTGTAGTATATAGGCTTATCATTTTAAGAACACAAAATTATTTATTTGCATAAAATATTTTTTTAGCAAATAATATATAGAAAAGTTCTTTTCTTTGCTCATAACAATATTGATTTTTTAAAAAAATATGTTACACAAAGTCTGTTTTAATGAAAAATAATTCTTTTGTATTTACATATAGTTTTTATAATTAATGAAAAATATATATGTTAATATTACAAAAACAATATATAAAGCCGCTTTTCAAATAATATACAGATATAATCAATAATTTATTGAAATATATATTTCATATTTAATAAAGTGAGGAATTTTATCTGTAGATCATCAAGTAATGCTCAAAATTTTCCGTAATTTTATTTAATTATGGTTAGAAATTATTCACACACTTTCAAATTAAATATGGTAATAGAAAAGAAAAAGTCATAAATAATAATCCTATTGGGTCTATAAGGAAATTTAATCGAACCCTTGGAAATCCCATATATTTCGTTTTCACAGTGGTTTGTTATTCTTATATAAATTTATTTCTAAAAAACTAAACATATAAGTGGATATTTTTTAATCTAGAGTACGATTATTAAAAAAAACTCATTTCACACTCAAGTATGATATATATAATTTTCATTAAAAAGAAAAATAACACTTCAACTGGATTCTTTTGAAAATGTTACATAGAAGATTTATAAATTAGTGTTTTACCATGCCATACCATGTTGTATAATAGATCATTTCATATATATCATATTATTCATAGTTTATAATTTATATTTAAGAATTCTAATACTATATTTATGTTACAACTATATCAACCCATTAATTATTAATATTAAAAAATAATATTTAAATTGTTCTAAATCATAAGAAACGCATAATTTTACCATGTACACAAAGGATTATAAAAAAATTTTATTGTTTTTGTGTCATTACATGTGTTATAGATTTATTTATAATCCGCGTAATACGATTATTCATTAGAGTAAAATATGCTAAGATAGAATGCATGGTTTAGAATCTAAAGAATGGGTAATTTTTAAAATCTTTTAAATTTCACAAATATTTGAATGTCATATGTGTTATATATATATTAAAATGAACTGAGACGTAATTCCTGCTTTGAAATTTATTATATCGTTGTAATATAAATTTATTATAATTCAATTTCAGGAAGATGAATTAAAAGGATTTCCTTCAAATGAAAAATATAATAATTTGGATAGAGCATTAGAAGGAAATGAACGCAAGAGTGATTGTATAACTTTTGAAGATGAGGATAGCAATATTAAAGAACTGTGTAAAAAGATGGCAAGGAATTTAAGGGAATTGGGGTCAATGCCAATTGGTGAAAATAGGAGAGAGAGATGTTACTATTTGCAGCATTGGTTGTATTATAAAACTAGGAAAATGCTTAGTTTAAATGAATATTCAAATAGGAAAGATTATTTTAAAAATAAACTTAGGCAGGTAGCGAAAAATATCAATGACAAAGAATTAAGACATGCGCCATGTGAATGTGTTTTTTATGGTGAATTTAATCATTGGAAAGAAGAGAAACATATGCATGATTATTTTAAGGACTATGATTATATTCAGTGTAACGATGCTGATAAAGGAATGTGTCAAACATATCTTGATTATGTTACTTACATTAATAAATTGTATGAAAAGTATTATTATGATGAAGAATATGATTGCTGCTTTTACTTGGATGACTGTAAATCATTTTTTAATTGTGATGAAAAATATAAGCCAGAGGATTTGTTAACTGAATTAAAAGTAAAAATTGATCAATTAACTGACGCCAAAATATCAGAGTACCAGGATTCAGGACATATGGGACAAGATGAATATGCTCATTCACTTTCACGAAGTAGCATGATGCAAAGAGATGATGATGTAGGATCTTCCGTAAACACACATGACTTGTTAGATGAGGAAAGTACTACCATTTCTAGCTCCCTAGGAATGACAGATAATTTACTGAACTCAAATAATTTACATCAGTTATTAGTCGCTTCTTCAATAGTGGGAACTATATTATTTTTATATTTTTACTATAGGGTAAGCATAAATTCGTTGTTAGAATATAATTAGTTCATGCTAATATTTGTAATTTATTTATTTTATAATAAAAAAAAATATATTATATATATTTATTATATTTTTTTAAATTGTATATTAGTCCACCTCACAGGCGTCTAGGCCACACAGAAGGGGAATAAAAGGGAAAAAAATTAATATATATCATAATGACGACATTGTATGCGAATTACCGCATCATAGTGTAGAAAACGAGTTATCGGATTCTGAAACTAGTCAATTACATTTACCATATTAACTAACGTGATAGTACTTTTATTTGTTGAACATATAATATAAAATTGCCTATGATGATTATAAGGGGAGAAAAAAACATTATATTTATATATACTATTACGTACAGTATGAAAAAAAAAAAAAAAAATAGACGTATGCACTAAAATTCAACCTATTATTATAAATGTCGTTATGTTTTAAAAAGTGTATAGCATAAAAAATGAAAAAATATTACATTAAAAAAAAATATAGTAATATCACATAATAAAAATGAATCTTCTAGAATACAACACCCATACCAGATCATTGCAATTTGAAACGTTTCCTTTAATTTACTGATATCATTGCTTATGATATATGTTTAATGAAGGATGAGTAATAATTTGTATTAGCTTAACGATTTATAAATTGTAACACAGATATTGAGTATGTTCACATATTTGAAGACACAATACTGAGTACCCCTATATGATGACGGGAATCCCCACACCAAACATAAATAATGTAAAATTTTATAAATTGAAAATTTAATTACATTAATTTATTTATTTTTTTATTTTTAATTTAAAAATATTATTTTAAATACACTGTTTTTTTTAATAATGATAATGTCCAGTTTTTATGTAGTCAGAAAAATGCTTTATGTTGCATGATTTATATAACTGATGCATATATTTATAATGCATGGATAAAAAAATAAAAATGATAGATCCTATATATTTTATTAAATACATTTTTCGATAAAATTTATTATATCGAATGCTTAAGGTATGTGTTCTGTTTTATTTGTATATGATTATAAGAAACCTACATAACTTTGTATATAATATTTATTAATAAAAACAGTAATACTATGAATATAAATTTTTTTGTTTTTATTCTTCAATTTTTAATTAAATTATACAAAACATGATTTTTACATTTATTAATTTTTACCGTTTGCAATTATTGTAAGATCATTTTTGTGTCATATTTTTTTGTATTATATAAATTATACATTTTTTCTTTTAACGATAAAAATTTACATAAAAAGAAGTTCTTATTCTCTTTAAATTATAAATGAAACACAAAAAATAATAAAAATTTAATCATTTCCACTTGTTATTATATATAAAATAGTTCCTTATTATTAATAGAATGAATAATAATAAAATCTATAGAAAAGAAACATATAAAAACACTAATAGATATTATATATATAGAAATTAAAATATTTCCTAAATTTGGTGTACTAAAATTATATTCTTATACGTTTATTATATAGTATAATAAATTAAGCATGGAAATGCATTTTATAAAGAAGAAAAAATTTTAAAAATCAATTCTACGGCTACTTAAATCTGGGAAATTTTATAAATGATGTCTACAAAATAGAGAATGTTTAGAAAATTTGGTCGACAGTTCTTCATTAAAAAAAAGCATGAATTTTTTGCATTGGAAAAGGAAATATAAAATAAAATGAGTGAAATTTGGAAAATTTTAAATTATTAAACACTATTTGAATGATGAATATTAATGCATTAATCTCACATTTAATATGCATGATATTTTTTTTCTCTCTCATAGTAAAAATTAGAAAAACTGTTTGAATGAAATTATCAGTTTTAATTAAAGTAAAATGAAATGACAATATTTGAATATATGTAAGAAAAGCAAGGTAAAAAATAACAAATAAATAAATAATATAAATGGTATGTTCATCTATAAGTTTTATAATGTTGTTATTATGAAACAAATGATATATTACGCACAGAAGTGTACTATAAAATTTTTATAGTGATAAGGTATTAATATATTTTTATATACATAATTATACATTTTAATATTCCCACACAATTATATATTCAGAAAATAAAAATGTTATTTTATTACAAGTTCATATATGTTTCATTAGAATTTTGGGGATATTTACATATATTTCATAAAAAATATCAATACAATAATATTTTGCTTGAAATATATTAGAAGAGAATTATATAGGTATTTTCTTTGCTGGATTAAATGTTGATATAGTGTTTCTATGATATATAATATATTCCTATATTACTAATATGGATAATAAAAGTAAATATATATATTAATCAATTAGGCATATTTATCTAACATCAAATAATAAAAAATTCCTTAAAAAAATTTATATATATAAATTATATATACATTAGAGAAATATAAACTATTATTTTTTTATAGTGTACTGTTCTATTTTTTAATACTGTTATATTTTAATAAATAATAGACAAATTCTTTTTTATAGTTAAGCTAATATACTATGTGCTGTAGAAATAATAAAAGAATATAAGTTGGATTAATATATAAAGCATTTTATTAGATCTAATATATTAAATATGAATAAAAATATATCTTTTAAAAATATAAAAATTTTATAATATAAATATTGTAAAACAATATATAATTATTTTTATATAAAAATTATATTCTTGTACTACACATTATATCCAATATATCTTAGACAATACATATTTACGCAAAATATATATATATAATATAAAAAAAATAGAGAAAAAAATATATTTTCTTCTACGTAAAATAATTATTTATTTTATATTTAACTTAATGTATATATGGTTGAAAAAATAATATAAATTTGAAAAAATACAATGGATATAAGCTATATGATCTTCATGACATAATAGCTATCAATAGATTAAAATATTTAAACCACATTATAAACGATTTATATACATTTTAACATGAATACTATATTCTCAACCCAGAACTTTAATACATAACTAAAAGAGTACAAATAATATTAAAGCATATACTCATAAACATCAACCTAAACTCTGAATCATTAATTTTGGTCTTGAAACCCGTATACTGGAAACTATAAACAAAACCATAAAATCTGTACAACAAATTCTCTGAGAACATATGAGAAGATGACAATAAAATAATCTCAAAAATATATAATTAATTAGAATATCATATATTAATACATGTATTGCATAAATAGATAGGATTGTAATGAATAAATTAATCTAAAAACATTATTTTGTGTAGTTCTTACTTTGTTTACACAAATATTATACTATGACATTTTAGCTATATAAAATATGAATTTACGATATATATAAAATGAGAACTCAGAAGAAATAAGGTTATAATATATACTAATGTAATATATTAAAAGGTATACAAAAGAATAACAAAACTGAGGGTGAATTTCTAATAAAATGGATATTTGTCAAATACAGAAAAAAAAAAAAAATTTGAAATAATAAAACTAATATGAAGTAACATAAAAATATTATTTTGAATTATTTGTATTTACGTTTTTATTTTTCGTAACATTATAAAAATTAAGTGGTTTTTATATATGAAAATTATTTAATTATTTTCTTTATTAAATGAAAGTCTTCACGATAATTGCATAATATTAAAAATATTCAACAAATATGAACCTGTTTTTTATAATTGCTTCGTTTATTTTATGGGTTCATTTTTATTACATTATTAGTTCATCATATAAATAGTTAACTGCAATTACACATAATAGTTACAAGGAATAACATTCAAGGCTTTAATTAAGGTTATCATCTATCATTCACTAAAAAATATTTCACAGTATTTGTTTATTCAAATAGTACATTTTTTATCTACCAAATATTATAAATTCGTGAATAATTACATATATCGTTATATATTTTACACTGTTGAACCATTTATCATATAGGAATATTTAAATATTTACCATTTTGTAATGTGTATTTTATAAAAATATCTTTAGACAAGTTAATATTATTAATATGTTTATTTATATGATCTGATGTGTACAATGTTATATTATTTATGAATTCTTAAAACTATTAAATAGATTAAAAAAAAATTTTAAACTTTATATATGAATAAAAATTTAGTGAATTTATTATCATAATGTTTTTCTTTTTGAATTTTAGAACATTGATTTTAAGATATCTATAATAATTTATGAAGAGGTAAAAGATTATAGTCTTACATATTTATATAATTGTTTTATATTATATGTTATAAGTAATTCTTATTATGTGTATGCATAAGAAATGATGAAATGTTAAAAATTATATTTTATAAACTCATGATTATAATATATCAGAAGACATAAATACATATATATTATGAATTTTTTAAAAACATTTGCATTAATACTTGTAATCCAAATAATATTATTATAGCGTTATACACTTTGGGAATAATTCTATATATGTGAATATAATACATTGTAGTATTAAGTGGTTTTATATAATTATTTTTTCTTTTATTCAAGGTCATCATTAATTTCGAATAAAGAATGTTTTTACGTATTAAAACAATCCTCAAAATATTACATAAGACAACTGCTTTTGATGATTATAATAATATTAATATGACATTATGATGTAATCTAATTTTTCTTATATAAAAATTCCTCACATTTCATGTGTTAAAACGTATTTATATTATACTAAATTAATTTTAATAAATATTATTATTGATAATTATATAATTTTGTAATTCATATAAAATATCATAGAATTATTATTTTAATGTAAAAATATTTGTGATGAGTGTAAAGAAGACAAAACAAATTTATAATAAACATACTTATTTTATACGTAATACTATTATATTATATAAAAACATATTCTCTTTTAATATTACAGGGATATATATATTTTTTAATATAAATGTTTAAAAAATAAAAGCTTCAGTATATACAAGAATATTTCTAGCATATTATTAATTAAATAAATAATATTCTGATATTTTAAATATGAGAATACAAATGCACTATTTTTCCTTAGGGTCATTGTATAGAAAGTTTATATTAAGAAAATAATGTTTATATCTATATTTAAACACGTATTTTATCGATTATATATATATAGATATTAAGAAAAAAAAATACATAAAATTTAAAAATAATAATTTATATGACAAAATACATGAATAGAAAAATAATGAATATTTTTTTAATTAAAAATTTCTGAAGATATTAAAAAAATGAAAAAGTATATGTACTCAATATGCACATATATTAAAATGTGATAACAGAGCATTATTTATACAATTCACATGCGCACATTTTCATAAATTATTTTATGTGAAATATTGTACACGTGAAACTGTTATAATTTTCGTAATATAAGTAATGATCTGATTACATCTAACATCAAATAGAATAAGAGTTCTGTGAATTTTTTTTGATATTCTACACAAAAAAAAAAATATTCAAAATATTAATAATGGTTAATAATAAAATGATTAATATATAACTCTTCGTCATTATTAATTATTATTTTAATTATGAACATGTGAATATTTTTGTATATATACATGCCCTTATATATTCATTAAAGCATATATAATTTAAAGGATATATGATATATTTGTTTCATGCTTTTTTAGCGATATTATAAAATCAATATATTATCATTTTTCGTTAGAGAAGAAATAAAAATACTATGCAAAAAATTTCATTTCAACATTGAGGTTATGTAGACTATATAATTTTCTAATATACGTTATTTACTGTATGTAATTTTTAATATATATATTCAGTCGTTCTTTATATGATTAAATTCAATAAATATTTTTAATTAAAATAAAATGAACGCTCCTTATAAAATGGATATTCTAATTGACATTATAAAATACTCAATCTTTTGCGTATATAATATATATATATATATACTTTCTAAAATCTAGAAATAGCATATATTAGATCAAATATAGTTTATATGTTATGTACTAATAGAAATTACGAATAATGTATTTCTTTGATTATCCATTCATAATATTAACATACACATATAATTAAATAAAAAGATATAAAACATTATATTTATATATATTTTTTCCTTCACATGATAATAGTAAAATACTTTTCTAAGAAAAGAAAAAATGAATTATTGTATATTTTGAATGATAGACACAATAATTCCCTCGTTCATTTAAATATTATTAATATTTACATGATTTATATATTTATTAGTTTTTAAATTTCTTTAATGTACCTTTTATCTAAAGCACATTTAGTGAATAAATCACATAGTATATATTATATACATGGACAAAGTATATATATTATAAATAAAAATTTATATTTAATTAATTGTTATTTATTCATAAATATAAATCTGATTATTTTAGATTTATTGTTATAAATGTATAAAACTAAATATATATTATTTATAACGTGAAATATTTAGTTTACATATATTTTATATATATAATATATGTTATAATTATTATAATAAGAGGACAATAAAATAACAGTATATAATAATGTGATCATTTTATATATCTTTTATGATAATTAATTTTGAATTTAATTGAATATCCTAAAAGAGATTAATAGAACATCATTAATAGAATAAATGTATAGTTGTATTTCACTTTTAATTATAATTAGGGGATAACATATTTATTTTTTATTACTATTATAATAAACTATATTAATATTATAATATATTTATTATAACTTACTGTTATTCAAATTACATATTGTTAGAACTTTTATAAATAATTAAAAAAAGATAATAAATAAATTCTTCATGATGGAAAAAAGAGAGTTCAATATTTTTCTTATATTTTTTACATTTATAATTATGCTATGCATAAATCATTATAGAAATAATGTGGTAATACATTAATTAATTATATATATATGTTTTTTTTATAATTATTCTATTTAGCAAATAATTATATCACATTCTAATGTTTTTTACTTTATTAAATAATAATATATACATAGTTTTTACAGCCTTCAGTTAGTAAAAATTTGGAAAACACATTTAAATTGGGCGATATAAGTGGAATACAAACTGACAGAATATTGGCAAAGCATGAAGTTAAGAAAAACACGAAACATTGCAAATTGAGGGAACAAAAATTTGCTAATGGAAAAAATATGAGAACAAAAAATGAAGAAGACAAAACACAAACATATAAAAATACAAAAAAAGAGGTATTAAGTGAATTGGATACTTATATGCGAAGTTATGTATCTAGATACGAAAAAAGGAAAGGATTAGAGAATCTGGATTGTTTTTGTGAAAAAAAAGTATTTGATATAATTGATAAAATTGATAAAGCAAGAAAAAGTAATAATAAGAAATTAAAAAAAAAATTACATTTGAAATACAGATTTTGTTTTGTTACCACATGTCTAATTCCATTTCTTGGATTAATTTTTCCCATTTTAGATAATATTAAGTTTAACACTACGACTAGTGGAAGTACAGGTTCATGTAAATCTATATTGTGTGCAGCAGGAATATCTGTGCCAGTTTATTATATTTACATTATATTCTTTCTAATTTTAGCATATATAATACTGGCATTCATTATTTATATAATGATAAAATATGCAAAATATGAAAAATTAAAAGGGAAGCAATGTAAAACGTTTTTTAATTACTATTTCGGATAGGCATATATGTGCTTAATAAATGATAATACGAATACATATGGCCTTATATATTTTAAAATTAACTTAACACTTCTTAATTTATTATAAATATTCCTTAAGAATATCCTTTATATATATATTGAAATTTTATAAAATTGTATTTCTATCTAATTATTTGATGCTTTGATTTACCCTGAAATTATTTGTTCAGTGTATTTTAGAATCATCTGTTAAAATTTTATTACATACATTATTATAATTTTATTTATATATTTTCATTATGTGTGTATGCTGAACAATGTATCCATTTGTGCTTATTAGAGAGAACAATATAAAAATATGTTCAACTATTTTTAATTATTCATGATTTTTCCTGTATATAAAAGTGTGTCTAAGCATAATGCATATACAGCTAATACAATATATTTATAATTATTGAGTTTCATATAATATAGCCTTATAAAAATATGTATATACATTTAACTATTTATACCTTACTTTTTGATTGTGTACGTGAGTAAGTATACAAATATTTTAGGAGTTATCAATTTCAGTGCGTTTTAGTTTAAAAAAAACAAATTATCTTATATTTTTATCTATAAATATGTATAACTTAATGTAAGTTTTTTTTCTGTACATAATAATAAAATGTTGCATAGTTCTCTAATTAAGCTTGTTTGATTTTTCATAATTACATATATATGTACATTTGAAGAGAATGTTATATATTCAAACATGATCTACATACTATGGCATGATTAATTATGGATTCAAATTTTCTTATTACAATAGGTTCATATAGAGTTACATTAATGTATACGTAAGTTCATATTTCGTTAATTAATTCAATGTAATGCACTTGAATATATATTATTAAAGAGTTTATATGTTATTCGTGTCTATATATTTAATTTATTGTATAAAAAAATATTTCGAATTTATTTTATAAAGGATGGAACTGTATGATACATATTATGTATAAATAATACATTATAATTAATTTTAGAAGTTTTATTACGTAAGTCCTTAGTACTAAAATATACAGATACATTTTTCTTACATAGCGTATTTACTTCCATGTATGACTTATCATATAATAAACACATGTGTTTACACATTTTTTGTATATATTTTTTATGTCTATTGAGCAAAACTATGTTCTACATCATAAGGCTTGTTCTCTATTTATTCTTTTGACGAATGAGAATTAAAGCTTATTCAATTATTTGTATTATATATTTCATAATACATTTATTCATTTTTAATTATTCTGGTATATATTCATGAAATAATTCAATTTAATTAATATTAACTAAAAAATCTGAAAAAAAATATAAAGGTACATAAATATGCAATAGAAATGTTCTGAAAAATACTTACTAATATTTCTATAATAATATCAGAAGTTACGAAATAAAAAAATATTTATCTTGCTCATAATAAAAGTAACAAATTATAGTAACTAATACATTAAAAAAAAATGTAGTTAGATTGGCACAAAAATTAAATCTTTTCAAATGCAATGCAAAATAATGTGGATTTTATTTCATTTTATATTTAATGTAATATTTTTATAGATTTTTTTTCTTATATTCTATCTCAACATAAAATCTGTATTTCATACTTTTATGACATGTTCTTTAATGATACATATATATATAAAATTTCAGGGAACTTCTATTTAATATTTTTGCTTCGCTCATAAAATATTTTCTTAAAGAATTATATATATACAAAGGTTTTACATATATTCATTATCTTTTTCATATTAGAATATATGTTATAATTATATATTAATTATTCTTCCGAAATACAAAAATCTTAGATGTCATTTTTGTATAATATTAAATTATTTCGATTCATTATTTTAGTAATGTCTTTATATATATATTTACACATATAATTAAAAGTAGGTACAAGATGTGGTTTTATATTGTACATGAATTTAAATGTAATATATAATACATTATTTTTTCAAATAACTTTCTATTATCTTATTCAAAGTACTTATGTGATGAATTAGGTTTTTAACGCTTGTATTTATATAAGACTAAAATATGCAGGTTACAGTGATTAGTGTATCACAGTGAAATTTATTACATAAACGTAAATATTTCGATCAAAAAATACTTCATTTTAATATATTCTTGAAGAACATATATTTAGCTAAATATAGTGAATGTTTTATGTATTATATCAATAATTATATATTCTAGGATAACGTGCTTTTTATTTTTTTATTTCCGTGAACTCTTTTATATATTGTTCCAGTAAAATAGTATGTAAAATGTGTTATAACATATGGAAACAATAATTATTAAATATTAAATTTTCTACAAACTATACTGTGCTTTATATCAATAATATTTACTTCTTATACGTATAACTCATGTTTACTGCGTGATTGTCCTGAATAACTATCCATTATACAAATATAATTACTAGAAACATGTTATTCTTAGCGTTTTATTATTCATTCTACATTTTTGTTATAAATATTACGTGCTCATTAGATTCAGGTGAATTTTGTACACATCAATACAATAAATTTTTTTTTTTTTATGCCCTTCATTGTATAAAGGTAGAGTAGTATATACCCTGATAATTTGAATTGGTTATGCTATACATATATACTCAATATATTTACGCTCTAAATTTTATATAATTCATTTTTAATTTTATTCAAATTTTATCCCACTTTGCAGCAGTGATATTTGCAATATTTATCAACGTATTTTTTACATGATAATTATATGCACATTTCATATACTGTATATAAAGGTAGTCTCATAATGTATACAGGAAAAAAAAACATTTAATATATGGAAAGTTGAATAAAAATTGATCCATATTGTTTGATACCTACAGAAACACACTAATTTATTCCATATTTTACTATATTCTTCATGTTATATAAAGGATTCATACATAATTCTTCGTTTAAGACGCTTAAATATAAAATTCAAAAATAAAATAATAATATACATAACAATTTTTTATATATAAAATATTTTGTAACAATATATTTTATCACAAAGTGAAAAATATTTGTATTAAGCATTTTTTTTTCTGTATATACAATTAAATTCATATTAAAACAAATTAACATAAAACGGTCTCATGAAAATTCATTCAATATACATATAAAATAATATATTTTAATTATAAGAAAAATAATTATTTATATTATATGATATTATTTTATGTATTATATGTTTAATAATAAATCTGATCTTGATTAATACAATATATATTAGTTCCATAAAAAATAGTATAAATCTATTTTGCAAAACAATGCTGTCCATAAATGTAATTGTATTTTATAATTATTTTGAAATATATAATATATTGAAATAATATATCCTGAATGACTAAATAATTATACAACTATTATTCCAAAAAATTATATGATGAGAATAAGAGGAACTTGTGAGAATGATGTATTCATAAAGATTAAATAAACATATATTAAATTAATATTACAAGTATACTGCAATTTTCATTATGCAACATAATCTACTAACCCATTCTCTATTTGAATAAAAAATACAAGGGTAATAAGAAACAGAATTTGTAAAAAAGTGCATTCATTCTATAAAGTTCACAAATAGCAGTACAACCATCACATGTATACGCGTTTTATATATATACATTAATTTATATATTGGAAAAAATAGTTGAATTTATAATGAAAATTATATAATATTATATTCTATAGTGTAAAAATGACAGGAAAAAAAAAATAAGTATAAAATATATAAAAAATAATTATGCAGAAGAAACAATAAAAATTAAAGTATATTATGAATATTTTACATCTATTTTGTGACAATAACATTAATGAAAATATTTAATAAAACAAATAATAAATAAATATAATGTGAAATTAATCTAATAGAGAAATATATAAATAAAAATTTAATATATTATCAAGAAAATATTATTTTAATTGTATCACATAGATATTACATTAATAAAAATATATATAATTGCAAGAACTATAATTAATATATATAAATATTGAATAATAACAAAATATAATAATAAATCTATGAAAAGACATTGCATTTAATAAAAAAAACAAAACATTAAGAATTAAATATTATAATATATTTTAATAAATCAATATGATATATTTTAAATAAATATTATGATATATTTTAAATAAAATATTTAATAAAATTAAATATAATATATATGTATCATTACATATATAAATTCTATCATAATTGATTAAATCTTTTATAAAACAAAAAGATATCTATGCATTATATCATGAAAATTAATATAACAGTAGCCATAATAAATTACAAAAAGTTTCAGAAAAAATTCATTATAATATATAAATATATAGAACATATGAAAAAAATAATAGACCAAAAAAGACAAAAAATGATCTCTAAATAAAAAACAATAAATATAAAAATTAAATATGAAACAATTTACACTAATCTTAACACCTAAATCCTCAATGTAGCTGCATTTAAATATGTAACACTTATTTAAACTGTAGATAAATCAAATAAGATTATAAACTTTCAATGTCATCACATAAAAGAAGTAAAATTGATAAATTTAATAATAAAGTTTATTTATGAATTCTGTATCATTAGTACATTATTTTATAATATTTTTATATTTATATAAATGATTATTCTTTTTACAACAAACATTTATCTTTACATTTATTACATTACATTTTAACATTAATTTTTAAAGATAAAAATATATAACTTATATATTTTTAAAATCATTATACTTAGTTCTTACATTCTTTGTCGTGAAATATTATTAATTTTCTTTATATATAGTATTAGAGGTTATAGACACGTAATATACGCCATAATAATTTTTCTTTTGAGTTTTTCCAAGTTTAATTTATAATTATTAATTATAGTAAATGATATAACTATAAAAATACACAATTTTTTATTATTAAATATATGATTAAAAATTAAGTTAAAATATATGGGATTCATTAAGAATCGACATATATCATATCCAGTCATACATAAAATCAGACTTATATCATGTTATATGTATTTTTTCGTATGATAATGATTTTATATTCGTTAAAAAATAAACATATTCTAGAGGTCATTATGAGCACTATTCTACATAAATGTACAATAATTAATTTTATTATATTTTTTTACTGAAAAATTCATACATTCTAGAATATTATGTTAATATGTGGAATGAATATTTTATTAATTTTATAACCATTCAATTTATGCGGCTTAAATGTTTTATATCAATGTAAAATCGAATAATTAATTTCTAATTACGTAAAATGATTAAATAAATCTTATGTAAAAATAATTATTGCAAAATTTTTTAAAAATTAAATGAATTTGTTCCATAACTACTGTATATTATTTTTGATAAATTGGGAAAAAGCATAGTCCAATATGACTTACAACAAATGTAACTCATTTGCAAATATATAAAACATCTTTTAAAATAATATTAGTAATAATTAAAACAGAATACTATATATTATAGAATAACGCATTAGGATAAAAATAAATATATTAATGGTAATCTAAAATTCAAAATGATTGATATATTCTATAAATATATTATTATATAAACACATAGTTCAAAAATAAATATATTATATATAGTAAAAATATAATGAATAACAAAGCTTTATTTTTGTATTCTTCATATTTAGATATTATATTAAATATACTACTTTTAAATAACTATTTGTGGAACAAAATGTAATGGAAATATTATATATACAAGATGAATACATAAAACATATATACATAATATAATATGAAATTAAATATTATAATAAAAGGTTATTCATAGATATAAAGATTCATATACTACCTGCTCCTTAGTTGTAGTATTTATAAATCTTTAATATGTAGGAATAATAATAAATATATCTAACCTTCACTCATATATATGTCAGAATATAAATGCAATAAAATCCAAATTATAATAACTGATAAATAATAAAAAGGTCAATGTATTAAACAGAACAAATAAAGACCATAAGAAAAGTTTAATAATTATAATCTAAAAACTAAATATTGCTCATATACTTTGAATATATAAAACATAAACATTAAATGCCAAAATATAAAAATAAAACATGATGAACGAAACTATAACACTGTCATCATTATATATTAAAAATTTAGTCAGATGAGGAACTAAAATCCTAAAAATTTATTCGTATAAAGCATCATATTTGCATTATTATTTTTTTCGAGCATGAGTGAAAATTCAACATACATTAATATTTTTAGATTAAATAATTACAAATTAATTTTAATAATTAAATGAAACTTAGAGTAAAATTTCATTATATATATTAAATTAAAAGAATTTTATGATTAAATCTGAGTAAAAGAATTACGATCCCCCTATTATTATAGCGATTAGAATATACAAAATATAAAATTATAATATATCTATTAAAATTATTAATATCTTTATGTTTTTAATTTTTATAGTAATATATATCTTACTAAGAATTATATATAGTGAATTATTTAACAAAATAAATATATATTTTTTTTTATTTGAACCTTACATTTCATTAGTAAAATATTTTTAATAAGAAAATTACATAGTTTATTAATTACATTTATATACAGATTCATTCCATATATAATAAAATAATAATAAACTTTTATTTAGGTTTGTATTAAATTTTATATAATATATATTCCTATGGAATAAGCACGGGTTTGTAGTATGTCTAACTTGTTTTTTTAACTTGTAATATTTTTTTTTTATATGATATGATTTTATAATAGTATAAATGCATTTGACATTTTCATTATTAAATACATAAAAAATGGTAAAAGAATTACCTTTTAATTATTAATGTATTTCAATGTTTTATAATTATCATAATATTTCCTATTATATATTTTTGTTATATATAATCTCTAATAAATAATTTCTATTAAATAACCAGGGATCTGATGATATTAATGAATTCCCAAGTGATCTCATAGAAGAATTATTTATGAAAATTAATGTAAGTCAGTTAAAATCAATAATCAATGCTTCTCCTATGGAAGACTCTGTCGTTGAAAGTAGTATACAGGATATCAATCCATATGTTAGGCTTACATATAGTACATTAAGGAATAAATATACTGATGATGTTATGAGGGAGAGATGTTGTAATGCTATAAATTTTTACTTGAATTTATTGATTGAAGCTGTTAATTTATCGAAAATATTTGTAGAAAAAAAGAGTGCTAAGATAGAAACCTTCATTGAGGAATACTGGAACGGAAAAATTAATATTGATAATTATACATGCGAAAGAAAAAAGGATATCTATAAATCTATTGTAAATTGTTTATTACAAAAATTACAAGGTGATGATTATAATCAATATAAATCACAGATTAACATAGATGACGAGGCCCGTAAAATAATATGGCACAAAATAATTCAGGCGGAAAAAAACTGTATGAAAATAATAATATAATAATTACTAATTGTTTCATAATTGAAATAATCATTCATCATATTTTAAATCAGAATTTTACTTCTTTGTTTTATACAGGTACAGTAAATCCCTCAAATAGTAGCTCACATATTCCTATTCAAGTGTTGGTTGATCATAATAAGGAAGATATTTTAGCGGTCTCTGATACATCATCAGGTAGGTTCCCTACAGTAAGATGTTAATGTAGAGTGCATATGTTATAGAGAACTATGGCATACACAAGACACATTTTCAGTTAAAACATTTCTGATCGTAGGTATTATCATTTTTGGTACCATTATAATGAATTTTGTATTATACAAAGTAATAAAAATTTTTTTAAAGGAATATAAATAATGCAATATGTATTATAATTTTTGTAAATATAAAAATGAATGCTACTTAATAAATTTATTTAAAATAATTATTATGATTATATTATTCTATTAGATAACTCCACTTGGAACACAGACGCGGTTTAAAATAAAAATGATGGAATTTTTACAAAAAAAAATTAGAAAGAATGAAATAACTGCATTATCATATAAAGTAGATAACGAGCTCTATAATATAGAATATAGTTCATACCTTAATGATTATGATAATAACATTTCAGTGGTAGAAATTTAAATAAAACAAGAATAATATAACTATTTATTTTAAGTATAATTATGGACTCCAATGAATAAAAATAGAGCTACGTGTATAATATAAGGATTTCAGTAATAAATTTTAATTATAAAAGAATTTACTATATTCATTATATTTCAGAAAATTACGTGAATGTGTTATTATAAATATTATATAATCTGATGTATATCTATTAAGATAAATAATGATCGTACAAGAATAAAGAAAAATGTATTATGAAAAATATAAGCACATATGTAAAATACATTCAAGAGAGTGTTTTTATACTTAAAAAGATATATATATAATATTGTTTAAAGATTTTACTAGTTATGTATTAAGCAATAGTTACATAAATTATATAATATATAAAAATATATAGATAATAATTTTGATAAGAAAAATTTATCATAAATTTTTCATACTTAATTTTAATATAAATGTTTTTTATGGACTAATTTTACTCACATACTTATTTTCTCCTTTCTTTTTTGATATACTATTATAACTCTTTCTTTTTTTGTAATTAAATATTTCTTTTTTTTTATTATTAAATATTTTTTTCAATGTTCCTAATTTTTAAGCATGTATTAATATATAATTCATTTATTCATATGTGTATATGTAATCCTTTAATTACATCTTATATTATGAATGCTTACAAAAAACTTAAGGAAAAATTTTATTAATGTTTAATAATTAAAATTATACATTTGATAACATTTGAATATAATCTTTATCAAATTATAGTTTTATTTATTATAAAACAATTTCAAATTATATGAATATTGTTATTAAAGATGATACAATTATATTTAGCGTTTACTCTTTAGGTATATGGTTCAGGGTTTAGTTGTATGCATTAGGGTTAATAATCATTTATTAGAATTTAATTTTCATTTATATATTATGATATAAATTATATTTGTTATAGCAATTATTTTGCATGTATAATTTTTTTTTATTTTTTACAATTAGATAGTTATCATGTTTTATAATCATAATATAATATATTTAATATATATATTGATATAATGATTTTTATTTATTTGAAGGTAACAAAATATTAAAATCCTTTGAAAATGATACAGTATGTCATATTATTTATAATTGTACGTAAATAATAATATGATTTAATAATATATGTTTTGGTATATATCTTTTTTTTATTTTATTTTAAAATGCATTATTCTTCGTTATATTATGCCATAAAACCCTACTATACCAAAATTCTTCTCATAGTATTGCTTAAAAGTAAATGAAAAATAAAATTCACATAATGTTTGTTTATATACATCATATTTATAATATTTTTTTGGTTAATTAATCATTTTAGTTATAACTATTATATCATATGTTGTTTTATAAAAACTATATCAGTATATCCATTGTATAATGTTCTATATAAAAAAATGAACTTATAGCTACTTTTCATTGAGGAACATATATTACCCATTAATTTTTTATATATATTTTGGCATGTATACCTGTTTTTTTATATTACATTATTTTTAATATAAACAAAAATATATTTTTTAAATATTAACTATCATAGCAAATGCTTATGAAATTAAATATGTTCATGGTATATGCTTCATTGTTAAAGAAAAAAGTACATATACATTAGAATTTTTATTACAATTTCCCATATAAAGAAAAAATCATTATTATTTTTATATTGATAAAGGGCTATTGTAATGAATTATTAATTGATGTAAAAGTGCTATAAAATATATATACACCATACAAACAAATTCTATAGGTAACCTCCAATAACTGTGTAACTTATCTTTAACTTTTATATAAATTGTTTTTATAAGATATTAATTTATTCTCTACTAAATCGTACAAATACTATTAAATATCTTATAATATGAATTGATAAAATATTATTCTTATTTAAATTATTATTTTCATATAAAAGTTTATTTCAGTTGCATTATACTTAATATATAAAATAAATGAAATACAAACTTACTTATATAATTAAACTTTTGTACGAAATACTGAACTTCTTATGAATGATTAGAATATAAAATTATAATATTAAATAGTTTGTAGTATGATAAATATTATTTTAGTGAAATTTGCATAATATTATAATGTGAAATATTTATTATGTTAATGGAATTTTAATATATCTAATGTTATATGTTTTTTCTTTTTTCTAATATTATAATATCTTAATAGGATAATAAAAAAATAGCCTATTAACCACAATATTTTTTATATGATTTATTAAGATTTTTTTTTAATTCAAAATTTTTCTAGAATAAATTACATTTAAAACATGTTATATATACTTTATTTTTTATTTTTATGCTTTAAATCATTTAAAAACACCCTGAAGCATTATTAATAATGTTTACATTTAATGTAGAAAAAAAAGAACATAATTTGCTTGTTACATTGTGAAAATAAAAAATAAAAATCAGTAGACAATAAACATTTCTATTAACTCGTGCTTCATAATACATATTATTCTTTAACATTCATATAATAAGATTTAAATTGAAGATTTAAAATAGAATATGCATTATAAAATCATAATACAGACAAATAAATTATGAAAATTAATAATAATATACATGTATAATATTTTATATTTTTTATGATGATATTTTTAAAAGAAAATATTACATATGCCTTATTTTAAAAAGTACAATAAATAGATTCTAATAAAAATTATCAAACACTCGTTTTTTATTTATATAATTTATAATTGTTAAAAATTTATAAATCATTCGTAAAACTAATTATATTAATCGATAATTATTAATATAGTTATTGCTAAAAAATTCATAGTTCTATCCTGAGTTAACAAATATTTTGTTCACGTAGTTTTTAACATAATTATAAAATATTAGAAATCGTTTCTATTTTCCTTTTAATAACTCATTCTATTGTGAATTTGTTTCAAAATAATAACATAAAAAGTGTTAAATTTCTTAAAATATAAATTAAATTCTGCATAAGAAATTCATATATATAAATGTAAATTTTTATCATTCAAAATATATAACTAAACGGCAAAATATAACGTTAATGCATATAAACTATGTGTAATACTATAATCAAAATTAATGCTCACTCAACTGTATTAAAGAATTATAAATATAACTTATATACATAATAATATTAATATAAGGGATAAAAAATATATATATAAAAATACGCTTAGATGCTTCCTGCAAATACATTCTTTTTGTTTTTATTATTCCAATATAAATAATGCTTCCTCAGAGTTAAGTTTTTCATAGTTGTATATACATATATATAAAATCTATGACAAACTTACATTCACATGATTCAATGAATGAGATAGCTCCTTTTTGGTATAAGAGTTAAGAGGAAATTAAACTTTTTAGAATCTAATTTTGAAACACTCTTAAAGATATCACGAATAATGTAATGGTCTCCATATGTATACAATGATTCTTCTTTTTCTTTTGGTACATCCACATCAAAATTAGTAATGAAGTAAAATAATATAAAAATGATAATTATAAAAATAAGTACTTTTATTCTATCAGAATAAATTTATGTAACAATAGAAATCATTGATACAATATAAGTGAAAAACATGTTATATTATATACACATGAAACCATGAAAATGATTCCATATATTTAATATAAGAATTAAATATGGAATAATAAATAAAAAACGCGTGATATTTTTTTATATATTTTTTGTTACCTTTTTGACTTATATCATATATATTAAAATTTATAATATATATATACTGTATATTATATATTTTTTTAGCAAAATTTTAATTTGTTACTTGTTCCAGAATATTTGATTATATTTAACACTTAGGAATTTTCGGAAAAATTCAGTTTATATATATATATATATATATATATATATATATATATATATATATGCTTTTACCCAATTGGGGTATATTATATCTCTAAATATATATTATACCAATACAATTTTTATAAAGTAATTCAGTTTACTTATATGTATCAGTATTGTTCATAAATCCATAGCTTCTTTTGTATTTAATTTACCTAAATATTATTAATTTGTGCATTAAATTACATTTAAGTAGTGTAATACATGATTATAGATATTCAAAGTTCTTTTATTAATAAATTTCATTTAAATTATTATTTGTGAATATTAGATTTTTCACTTGTAGTGGTTTTTTCATTTAACAAGAATTCAAGAATAGATAACTATATTTATAGAAGCTATGTTTTGAGTAATATATGTAATGAAAATATTTTATTATTATTTCAGTAAAATGAATTAAATAATGTCTTACTATACATATACATTGTAGTTATATATTACTTTATACAATAAGTTATCATAATAGCATCTTTTGCAATAGAAATAAATATATATAATATATCAAGAATTGATATTTTTTATACTCATGGAAGACTAAATTCAAAATAAGATAAGAATAGTTAATTTTTATGATTTCTTAACTAGTTTCTTGTTGTGAAGTTATTATTAGTGTGCCACACAATTATATTGCCTATATGGGCTATATTATTTGTGTACTTAACTACAATATTATATTAATTATAGGAAGAACTTTTTATTTTGTAAACAATATAGTACTTATTATTAAATATATAATATTTGTGTTCTTGTGCACTATGCAATATGTTGAGATGTAATATACCCACAACAGCACGGAAGAAATATTCGCATAAAATTTATTTTTATATTAATATATATACATGTCATTAGTAATGTTATAAATTTTCATCATAAATCATGATTAATATTATATATATGTGAAAAATTATTTCTATAACCATAAAAATATGTTAAAACCTATGATAGGTATATTCATTTAATTATTTTTTTTTATATTTCACAATAATATATTGATATCTTATACAATTAATTAGTTGTAAATTAATAATTCCTTTCATAACAACATTATTCTGTAATTAAAAAATATGAAATATACATGAGTATAAATATTTTTATAATAGATTATATTGTCTAAGTATCAACATAGATCGTTATATAATTTCTCATGAGCTTGTTAATTTGTTGTATATTTATATTTTTAAAAAAGTCCCAAATTTTACCACCTTTAATACATTTTTTATTATATTGTTACACTCCTCTGAAGTATGCTCAAAGTTATATTTAACCAGAATATTTAAAAAGAAAATATAAGAGTATATATATCTCTGTACTTTTAATTAATTCTGTATTATGTAAGAAGAAAAAAAAAAAAAAAAACACATATCTTAAATGAATTTGATCGATAAACAGTCTATAGAACAAAGGGAAAAATAAAATTTTTTGAGGTTACATTCATGATATAAGCATACTGACTATATAAAGAAAAAATAATAAATTATATTTTTCTTTATATAATACATTAGCTGTGAATATAAAGATATTTTATATATTATTTCTTAAATATTTTAGTTAAAAAATATTAATAAAATAAAATTAGTTTAGGCTTTATGTCTGGTTCTATAATGCTTTGTTATAGTAATAATTTGAGTATAACTTTTACCATTAATAAATGAACAAATCATAATGCTATATGTTTTTAAAAATGAAAATAAAATAAACAAACATTTAAATATATTTTTTAAAAATTCTACAAAGAAAAGAATCAATAGAAAGTAAAATTGAAACAAATGTAGAAGAGGATTCTCATAAAAAATTTTACTTTTCTATATATTATGCTTTAATTTCTATTTATATTAGGTATAAATGTCTCAATTTACATTCAATAATTATAATTTTCTCATTTATATTATTATTATGCTTATGATATATTATACAATGAAATTATGTTATGCAAATATATATATTTATAACTATGAAAATCACGTTAAACTAATTATATTCTATATTACTGAAAAATAATTCATAATAGAAGATTTAATGATAAATCATATAATAAAATAATATGTTCGGAAATAATAATAATAGAATTTTTATATCTATAAATAACTTATTTAATATAATACTTGTTTTTATTTATTTATTTATTTTAGGACTCTTTTTTATTATTATTATTGTAATAATTGAACATCATATATTAAAATTTTTTCTCCATAATTAATCGTTTTATATATATAAACAAAGGTTTATGTGTTATTTAATTTCATAATTAATTTTATCTCAGTGCAAATTGTCTAACTTTTATTTTGTATTTAATAATGTTGCTCTTGGTTGTATCCTATATAATTTTCTTCTAAATATTCGCGAAATGGGTTATAAGCCTCTGATCTATGGGAGAATAACCTTCTTACTTTTTGACTTGCATTGTTTATCGCATTATCTATATTCGGAAAATTATTTTGAAACTGTCTGCCTATGGATGTGAACTTGTAAATTTAAGGATAATAAAGTGCATGTGCAATATATTAATTTATAACATATGTATATATGTAGAAGTGATCTGTTATGATATTTATAGAATTTATATAAATTATTGTAATTTTCATTTACTTTATATAAAACACCAAATAACATAGATGTTAGAAATAGTCCTAAAATAGTATTGACAAATGTTCTTAGAGGTTTCGTTTCGACACTTGATAATTCATGATGCTCAGAAGAACCATTTTTGCTAAGTGCATTATCATGAAATTTTTTTCCTCCGGAATGTATCAATTCTTCTGATTCAGGTAAACTTAAATCCTTATGAGTTTTCTGATTGTATGGGGGACATAAAGCTTTCTCAAGCAATATTTGTGGATCGTAATTTTTATATGTAATCCCAGAAACAGGACAAATAGAATCATTACTACGATTACAACGACCTTTAAAATACTCATATGCATCAGTTATGCCATTGAGGTACGTGCACAACCTATCACACTTTCTTTACATTTACTAGCCACTTCATTAAGGTAAATAAAATCGATAGAGTAATCATAGATTTTCTTAGTTTTTTCCCAATTATCGTAATAAAAAAAAATAGGATGATGCGGTAGACATTTGACAGAATTGGCATGAATTTTATGGTCATAAACATCACTCCACATGACTTGAATTTTAGCGAATGCATCATTACATTTATTACGATCCATTCCATGAGTTCTAAATAGTTTTTCAAATATCCAATAGGTTAAAATTTTACGGTCAAAAATATAGTCATTTACTATTTCCCATATTTGGGCTTGATTTATTAAATAAGTTATGTAATTTGAACAAAGTGCTTTAATATCTTCTATATTATTGAAATTACCAGAAAGATTGCTACAGTATTGACCTTCGATAAATTTTGATTTCATATTTTCACTGTCCAAAAGTTTATAAAATGCAACTGAACGCAAATCTTCTCTTTTAAAAATCTGAAAAGTTTAAAAGGAACAGAGGAAAATATAAATATATAGATATTCACGAAAATTGTATGTGTTTTATTGTAAATGGTTATTTTCTGGATATTCATTAATACACACATATGCTATAATATGCATTAATTTAAATGTAAACATACGTATTCTTGTTATTCTGCCATATTTACATTCTATAATACACGAAATATGGGAAATTATGAATTAATTAATGTTCCCATGTAATTACACATAACCTAAATTTTAGAGAATATTTGATACCTAATTATAAAAATTGTTAATTTAAGGATAAAAATATATTTTAATAAAACAGATTAAAACTTATAATATATATTTTAAAAAATTATATATAAAGAACAATTGGACGTATTTTATTTTTTGAACACTATCCATGGGTAGGAGTTCGCTTTTTTATAAATTTAAAATAATAATCTTTAAAAAATAATGATTTGAAGTTCTTTTATAAATTATATTTAAATGAAAAACATAATATTTTTGAATTATTATATAAAACATATATATAAAAAGTTTGTTATAATTTATTTTAAATTAATATTATATTGTGCATAGGTAATTAATATACATATAACACAATGTAAGAAATATTGAAATATACGTAAAAAAGATGTAATTATTCTTCATATATAATATGAAATTAATCAGTTTTCTTCTTTTTGTCATTTATTGTGTCATCTCTTATCAATTATTAACAAAACATTAACGGATCATGCCTAAATATTTAGATGTTATAACACAGTCGATGTATATGTTATGCCCATTTGTATTAACTCATGTATTAATAAGATTTGTCGTCAATTATATATGTTTATTTTCTATAAATTTTATATCAATTAAAATTATACATTTTCAGCATTAATAGTGATTTTTATCTGGTTAAAGATTTAGATTTAATGTTTAGAATTTAGGCATATTTCTAGACTTTCATTTTTGCTCTGTGAAACTAGAATAGCTTTTATGAAATATTTTTACAAGTTCTATGTTTTATTTTTAATTTTTGAATGTGTGTTTTTATCATATTTTATGATTATATCATAAACTTTGATATAATCATTTTAATACATTATATTACATTTATGTGTACTATATAAAATATTGCTATACATGTAATTTATATTATTTTTAATACTTTTATTGATCACAATCTTATTTAATAATTTATTCTTTCTTTTGAATATTTTTTTTTAATATTTATTTTCCAATACATTATTCATAGATTTATTGTGTGACAAGGATTACATTATTTTGACTGCTTCTATAGCATCATATTTATATGTGATCTCATACACCACAATATTGCTATATACACCATTAGTACAGTATTTTTTGTTTATTTATTACTCTTATTAATTTTATCATATCATATAAATATATAATAAATTTACAGTGGTATATTAAGTAAATATTATTGTAATATTATAAAAAAATAAGGATTTTTATCTATATTTTTTTTAAGGAACTTATTTTCCACAAAATTTATTTACATATTTTTATATATATATATCCATTATTTCATATGAATGGATTATTAGTATAATTAAAATTATATTATCTCAGCATTATAAATGAGCAATAAGTATTTTAAATAAAATATTTTTTGAAGTGTCAGTTTCATTACATAAGAAAAAAAAAAGACATATATTCTAATTTACTTATTCAAAATATAATATATATAAATTTTTATAGAGATAAAGATTTATTTTTTTGAATAATGATTTTATATTGAACAGTGTATATAACCATACACCTGATATATATATTATATAAATAATTTCTAATAATTTGGTGTAATATGCATTTAAATTATAGAATAATTATTAACATTATGGAAAAAAATTGTGCTTAATAAATTTTAAAAAATATATTAAATACATTGTTTGAAAAATTAACAAAAATATAACTCTCAATTAAGACATTATTATGAAAATTGATAATTATTACTTTTTCATAATATGGTATATGCCACGTTAGATTAAATAATGTAATTATTATAGAAAACATGCTTTATATATATTAACTTATATACTAAATGTTTTGCATGATTAAATGGTAATATATTAGGAATCTACATTTGTTCTTATTTATTATAACTATTACTGTTCTTCCTTGTCCCCCCATAGTGTGACCTAATAGAACAAATAATATTTTGGTAGGAGTATTAGCTACATCAATTAGAAAAGGATCAAAAATTTAATTTTATTTATATCATAAGAAAAAGCTAATTTTCATAGTTTATTTTAGATAATAGTGCGCCACAAAATAGTTGTGACAATAGCATTAATATATACAATGCTATTAAATTTACAGAGATAGCTGAGTTGATGTATAATTACTTAAGATAATATAGTTGATAAAATATCAAATATTAGTATAATAAATAATATTCATAACTTATGCGCAAACTGTGCTATCAGAATTAGTTCTCTATATGTAATAATGCGCATAAAAATGTATAGCCTCAATAGAACATAGAATAAACTATCTCACTATAATGAGAAATATATTTTTTGGTTATTTACATAATTAAAAATATATAAAAAGTCCAGTTAATGAATAATTTAGATTATCTACAAGAATGAAAGCAATATATAATATAAGTCTCATAAAATTATTAAATCAAGTATGAAAAAAAAATTGCGTCATAAATACTTATAGAATTAAGTAAGACAGTACGCTCCATTTAATTTAATAGTGTTAGTGATAATTATATGAACATTTAGAATATGGATATAAATTACTTCTATATCTATGTATGGAAAAAATTCGTCTAGAATCATGAAATATGTAATAATATGAATATGTATGGAAAAAGTATAATATCAGAATTTCTTAAAATGATGTCATTAATGCAAACGTGATACATTTTACTGCATTGTACATTATAATATATATAAAGGAACTATAGAGTGGCATAAAAGAAGACACAACACTGTTTATTTATAAATTCATAATGAATATTTTCCTTATAGTTTTTCAGCATTTTTCATAGGTTATTTTATGTAAATATAATGAAACTAATAAACTTTGAACTATAATACCTAAATTTAACCTATAAAATTTACACGATGATTATAGCAACAATATCATTCTCTTCAGGGTTTAGGTTTCCAGGGTTTAATTTTTTTCTACCGGATATAGTGTTTGGGGCTTATGGTTTATTTTTAGAGTTTAGTCATTATTGTTTTATAACTTTTTTGAGTTTTTGGTCTTATGCTTATGTTCTAATTTTTATATTTATGCTTTAGGTTTTAGGGTTCAGTTCCAATGTTCTGACAGTATCATATTTTTTTATGTATATTTATATATTCAATCATATTCTAATTGTAGTGTGTATACTGTTAATTTTTTATGTGTTAATTTTAAATTATAAAAAATATTCAATATTTTATATACCTAGGGAGAATGAATGCTTGAAAATTGGAAACACAGTGAAATTAGTATACTTTATCACTCTGTATATGGATTTCGTAATATAGATGCAAAATTGATTGATCTTATATGATAAATTTCATTGAATTTAGTACTTGTGAGATGTTATATGTAATTTTAAATAACGGAATGAAGATTTAAAAATGTTTTCATGGTAATATTTGTACTTACTGGAATAATTATTTCTTATCTGTTATTATTATTATTATTTTTTTAATGGTATTGTCTATATTTATATGAATTTATCCAGAATGTTTATATTATATGAATAACTATGCATTACATCAAATAACTGTATCATAATGTTTTATTTTGTTATATTTTTTATTAAAGAAATATGTAGCATAGATTTTAAGATATATTCACTTGTGTATATTATATATAGAGATAATTTTTTTACTAATAATATATCTTGAAAAGTAAAAATGTTCTATGTAAATCTGTATACATATTGTTATTATAAAGATGTGTGGAATATATTACATTTGTATTGCGGTGGCCATATAAAATGAATTAAATCATGAAGGTTTTTACTATTATATATATTTTTAATAAATATTGTAATAGAAATTTCTTTATTTAATTATTTTTTACATATATATAAATAATTTTTAATTATTATTGAGTATATAAATACACTGTCTATCATGTATAACATATTTTAATAATAAAAATAAAAGAATAATTAATATCAGGCCTAATATTTTTCCCATAATAAGAGAAAAATTAATAAGATATAATGAACAATGGGATCTATAAATAAATATCAAAATAGTGTAAGAATATATAATACATCAATAATTAAAAACGGCGTAAGAAATATTAAATTAAATTTATTTTATCTGTATAAGATATATAAAAATATATTATTTTATAAATACTATAATTTCATTTAATACTTATTTATATAATAATAATTACAGGACTTATATAAAATAGCATGATATCACATTATTTAATGCTGAATAAAATTATATAATTCTATTATTATTGTGATTTTATATATTTAAAGATACTATATAAAAAATGTTTAATTTTTTTTATTTTTTTTATATACATTATATATGCTTTTGATTTTACACTATTAAATCACATAATATATAATATTACAAATATTTGGATTTAATATTTTTATGACTTTTTCTTATTTTTATTTTGTATTTTTTGATATCAGTATTTAAATCATAACATAGTTATATTAAATATTTTTTTTACTATTTAAATTTTATTGTGTTTATTATGTAAGATGGATGCTTAAAAAAATAAATATACACAATATTTTTTTTAAATTTTTTATGAGTTACAATAAGATGTGTTACATTAAATATTAATTCTCTTGTTATTTATCCTTTTTCTTATTATATATATAAATTTACTTCTTGTTTTTGTTGTATATAAAATATTATTATTTTTTTTCAATCCAATTATTTACAAACATTGTCCAAGTATTATATTTTAAGACATATATTTATTTCTGTATAACCATAATATACAAAAGATGACAATTAATTTTTATAATTATTAATATTTTGCATTCTTTATAATAATCTTTAGTTATTGATATTTATTATTAATATATCGAATTTTCCAGATATTTGTTACCTTAATGCAGAAAAATTTTACATTTTCATTTTGTAATTTTATTTTTAATTTAAAAGGTCTTCGTCCCAATTTTTATTTTTTCTTTATTATTTGGGGAAAAAAAGCGATACATTTATTTTATTATATTGAAAAATAAAAGATGAATTATTAATTCCCATTATGTTTTAGTTTCAATCTATTGCGCTATATGATATTTGGGACGATTTGTCTACTAATTCATCGTATGTACTTTCAAAAGAATTTATTAATTGCTGTTGTTCTTTCCTTTTTTTATTCCATATCTCTTTTAACTTCCTTATGCTTGGTTGTAAATATAAACCACATGGTGTATACTGATGAAAAGAGTAATAATATAATTTTCTTATTTATAAGTTAATTTATTATTTACATGTATACAATAATTTGTAATATAAATTATAATTTAATTCTTATTTTTATTGTTTAATTTTTAATTAACCTCGTACAAGATAAACGCAATAAATGGTATTGAAAGTGTAATAATAAATGAAGTTAAAAGAACAGTGCGTATACTGGAGGAAAGTAAGTATTTAGGAGGTTCAATGCAGGAAGGTGCATGTGTATTTTGCAAATGTTCATCTTTATATTTTTCCAGAAATATGCGTAATTCTTTGTTATTTTCTTTTTGACATATTTTACAAAGTTTTTTATAATTATTAAAACAGGAGCTACCATGTGGGCACACTTCATTGTCGTTTAATAATTCATTTGATTTATAATATAGACCTTCCAACGTTTGAAATAGGGAAAATGTGTCATCATGAATATTTTCAATAAGATCTTTGCAGCTATCAGGTACACTATTATTATTTTTTGTATTTCCTACACTTACGCTTATCATTTGTTGGTAACAATCTACTTCATTCTTGCAAGAATGGTTTAAATCATTTATTTCTTCTTTTAGCTTGAAACTAAAATATTTACAATATGATATTTTATCTTTTTCTGATTTGCGTTCTATATTTTTTAAGTAGGTACTAAGGTAAATGCAGGAATTAAAAAATGTATAACCAGTTTTAGAAGATTTTAATAATGTACGTGAAATTGTAGTGCATATATTATAAAATGGATTTCTAAGAAAATCTACAAAAGTTTTTAGAGTGTCATTATATTCCTTTATACATGGAGGAAATATACTCTCTAAATCAATCTAAAAATGAAAGTGAGTGTATATAAAAAAAATATTTTTATAGATGTTATTATTTCTCTATTAACACAAGTACCAAGATATTCATGTTTAATCAAATAAGTAATAATTTTAATAAAACATAATAACATACATCAATATTCAAAGAGCTAAGATTATTCATTGTGTTATGTATTTTTTCACTAGTACAAAATTTATCGTAAATAAGTAATTTTATATTTGAATATAATCCAATAAAATTATCCTAAAACATGAAGAACCCTCATAATAATTATATATATAATCTAAAAAAAATATATAATTTATTATAATATATTATATTAGGAGAGAATTTTACATAAATAGATATTGACTAGTGATATTACAGAATTAACATAAATATAATAACTCTTATATAATATAAGAATAACTTTTCCATATAAAAAATCAATTTAAGAAATATAATGACAAATTTTATATCACTTTTTTTTTAATATTTTTAATTATTTATACATTTTATGTACAACATATTGTTATGATGAAAAAGACAAGTGTTCTACAAGTTTTGTAATGGGAGAAGGTATAATCGTAAGGACAGTATTTTCTAATTTTTTATATAGGATTATTTATTTTTTTGTGGAGATTATATATATTTTGGCATAGTAGTAATTTGTTTATCATCATATAATAAATATTTTACTATTATTCTTGACATATTTTCAAACCTATATTAATATTATATATTATTTACGTAATATGGATAATTCTATAATATGATAATTAATGTGCACATGTGTTTCAGTATATGAATATACTTTAATTTTTCGGGTATATTCATTATTTAATCTTAATAAATAAACGCTATAAGAACATATATATTATGTAATAAAATATTTCTTTAAAAGATATTGTAATGTTAATATAACTTTATTAATTCTATTTTAATATAAATTCTACTGTTACTACATATATATTTTATTTGTATAATTTTATTATTTTTCTTAATTTTTATCATATATTGAGTCAAAATAATTAAAATTTTATTATGATAATAGTATTAATCATGAATCATAATTTTTATAATTTATCAAATTTAATCATTTTTTTTTTTTACAATGAATTATTATTCATGAGAAAACTGTATTTTTTATATCCTTTTTTATAGTTACTTTTTATTTTTTTTTTTTTTCTTGAATTATGATAAATATTTTAAAAATGTTTTTTAAAAAATATATTACTATTTATTCATATCTATGTATAACTAAATAGTGCATATTGAATATATATGAATAATTGTGATAAAAAATCATAGGAATATATTATTAATGTTTAATCATGTATTATTATATATAATATTGTATAATATTTATTTTACTTATACTTTTGAAATTGTATTTTTGAATATAATTCTTATTATGCACATACCGAATGAATATATATGTTAAATCATAACTATTTAGTACAATTTTTATTTAATTTATTTATAAAATTTTATTTTAAGAATATAGTTTTCTAATAATAGAATTCTGCAATTATTGTATAATGTTATATATATTGTAGTTTCCTAATAATTAAATTATACAAATAAAAAATAAATATCATTAAATGTTTTATACGAAATGTTATCTTACTTTATTGATATTATAATATTTATTGTAACAGAATATGATTATTGAGGAATACTCATATATTATAAGATGGTTTGTTATACCTGTTTTTAATATTAGTACAGAAAACCGACTTATTTTTACATATATATGATTATAATTTATATTACGGATAGGTTACATAGAATATATTTGAAATAGTCATAATATTTTCATAATATAGGAAAATAATATTCAAGTACATTCGGAACATTTATATATGATAAATAAAAATGTGAAAATTAAATAATCTTTTTTATATATTTATTTTAATTAGATTAATAATATGAATAATGTTATTTACTGAATCAACTATTCAAAAATATTGCTTAAAAAAGAAAAATATAAAAACACATAATTGCATTACATAATCATTACTATAATAATATGGGTGAAAGTTAAATAATCATGAATAAAATTAATATTAATACATACAAAAATTATTCTTGTATTCTTCAACAGGGTTATATATATGTATTAATACATATACATTCATTATGTGGTCTCAAAGTACATATTACTTTACTCATTTAAATATTATATATAAAGGTATCATTATAAAAATCCTCTTATTATTGCCTTTGGAAAATGTTTTAAAAATCCCCAAAATTATTTATTTAAAGGAGTATGCATCCTTCGTGCATTTGGAATAGTTTATTTTTATATTTTTTCCTTATATGCCCCATTGTCAAAAATTATATATTCTTAATATTTCTATATAATTGCATAATTATAGGAACAGAAATACTATGTTAATATATTATTAAAAGACATACCATTATTAATATATAATCATTAAATAAATTTGTTATAAAGGTAATTTTATAAACCCTGTAAAAAAAAAGAAAAGCACAAATGACGTGATATTTTTTTATTTAAATGTGGTTGTAATATAGTATGCTTAAAAGGTTTCTTGAATTTGATATATAAGGACCTTATAAATTAACGTTTTACTCGACCTCTTGATTTATTTATATATTTTGTAAAAAAATTAAAGAATTATGATCATCATCTATTAAGCAAATACCTGATTAATTTTTACATTCATCCTAGTATATACAATATTTTTATGCAATTTTTATCAGTTTGAAAATATTTTGAATATATATTATATATTTTTTCTTAATTATTGTAATGACACTGATTATATTCCTATATAATTGTGATATATAGCACTACCTTTATCAATAAAATTAAAATACATAAAAGTATATTCATATTTGTAACATTCGAAAATATTATATAGGTGCAGTATAATTAAGAATTATAGAGATATTATATTTATTCATAAGGTTATTATATTTATTAATAAGAAAAAATATTTATTCTCTTAATTAACGTAGGTGATATATTAAAATTAAAATGCATTAAACACTTTTGTTTATTTATTTCTATATATAATTGGACAAGGACAATAAGTATATTAAAAAGTATACTATTACTTATCAAAACTATGAAGCAAAAAACATATTATCAACGAAAATATGATATATATAGCAGATGATAACAGAGAATGCAAAATATTTAGCATGAAAACTAAAAATAGTATATGCGCATTTTCGTTTTTATACTATTTATTATTATATGTACATATCTAAATATAAAATAATAATGATTTCTACAAAAAAAAAACGGTGAACTGGTAAGAATACATTTATGAAATTATATTGAAAGAACAGTGTATTATACAAAATAAAATTTGATATACTAAATATATTCTCAAATGTTCATATATATTATTTTATGATCATTATTCAAATGCTGAGAATTTTGTATATTTTTATGCATAATATAATTCTGTGACACGCTAACATTAATTATAAGATATGATAAATGTATTGATAAAGATCTAGGAATTATTTAAGAAATCATTCTATAATCATACATCTGTTAGGTTAACTAAGTTTTCACTTACTTTGTATTAAAACATTCTTTGATAATTATCTTTGTAAATATATATTATCAAAAATGTGAATACCAGAGAGAAAGATAATATATTTAAGTTAAATTCTTTCTTCCATCAGAATTTTTTATACATTAAAAAATAATGAACAAATGTAGAACTAATATATTTAAGACATTGATAAATAGAGCCATCAAATAAATCTAATTATCAATATTTTTGTGTTCCACAGTATTATGTACTTCAGTAAAACTTTATAAGGTTTTATTGAATAATCAGAAACTTATTCTCATATGTATAATTTTTAGGAATAGTATTACATATGAAGCACATTTTGTCTATTTTATTTATAAGAAATCTCACATTAAAGCCTTAGATTAAACAATTATTCAAATATACATTATTTCTATTATTTGTTAGCCCCATTTTATCTGAAATGCATGTACTAATTTTACAGTTCTGCTTTTTTCTTTAACTTATATTTATTTTATATTTAAAAAATTGGAAACTGTCACTTTAACAATGTATTATTTCATTGTTATCATTTATCCTGGATTGTGTTAACTGAATTATATCAATAAACTAAAAAGTAAAAATATGTAAAAATTAATATAACTATAAAAGAAAACATTATTTGAATATAAAAAATAATAATTCAAAAGAAGAAACTAAAAAGATATATAATTATAGACAACAGACATAATAATGTAATATACATATTAAAATATATTATAAAAAAAAAATTAGAAAGGATAATTAAATTACATATATATTTTAAAACATGTTTCAGTTCATTGTTACATTAAAGAAGAAAGGACTTAATTTTATTCTTCTTATAATATTGTCAGAATTAAAGCGCTCTTGCTCTATTAAGCTTTTTTAAAATTTTTTAAAATTTAATTTATGTGCTCAAAAAAAAATAAGACCGTTTGCAACAAATTCTAAGGAATTAACAAATTATTGCAATATTAATTCGAGCTAATAAATGAGTTTTATATGTACTTACAAAAATAAAATGTAAAATGTCCATAATTACATTACACGTAACAATATACAAACGAATAAAAAAAAACGTCATAGTTCATGGTTTTATGATAATCAGTTGTATTTTCACATATATTTTTTTCAATTCGTTTCTACATTTTCATTTCATATAACTTTTAAACTATATTTTATATATTTAAAATTTCAATAATTATAACTATTTATTGTTTTAGTTTATAGTATATGGAGATTAATGAATAATATACATAATTTTAGAATATGTAGATATAAATGTTTATATTTCCTTTGCACTGTTCAATTTTTAATTTTGAAAAATATTTTGTTATTATTTTATTTTCATTAGGTAGATAATTGAATATTACATATTTTACAAAACCTTCATATATTTTTTTTAAATATGATACTGAATATTTTGTGCAATAACTAATACAGAGATTTGTATAATGAAAAAATTTCTTTATGTGACCTGATAATTATAAGAGGATTTAACGAATATATAATTATATGAATTTATCCTAATAAATTGTTAAATGTGCACATCTGTAATTTCTGTCCACACATTATAATTTATATATATTTTTTGAAATATTTTTAATTTTTCTATTTACATAGTTGTATTACAGAAATTATATTGCAAAAATATTTGCTAAATTTTTTCTTATATATACATTTATTATGAAATAGAGTTTAAATGTTTTTAAAGAGCATGATTATAGTGATCATGATGGTTATATATAAATAAAATTCTTTACATATACGTGTTGTTAAATTAAACCGTTTATATATTAAAATTAGACTCTATGAAATATATGCATAAATGTTTAAGAATATGATTATGTAAGTTCATATATTATAAATGCATAATAATTTTCTATTACATTACAACAAAAAAGAGTGCATATTTATTGTTTTGTTAAATGATTAAAAATTGATGATTGTGCATAACAATTCACAGCAGAATCATGTATATAATATAAATACTAGTTTTAATTAAAATATAAAAAAAATTATAATATAATTGTTAAAATCAATGAAATAATAAATTAAAAAAATTAGTTATATGCTTTTATTTTAACGACTTCCTATACTAATTATATTTATATGTTCCAAAATCGAGCATATTAGTATTTTTAATGTGAGGGTAGAAAATGTATTTAGTATTGAAGTATATTATAATATGTGTAGAGTAATTTTAAATAACAATTAATTAATGCTATATTAACATAAAATAATTTAAAGTGTTAACTAAATAATATTATATTATGGTGAATAATTATTTAAATTGAAAAAAATTTATTATGAGAAATCAATTATGAACACACTTTAAAATTTGTGCGTTCTATATTATATATTGATTAATAGTATTTATTTTATTGTATATAGAATAATAAAATATACTTATATATATTTTATTCATGAATATTAGTGTACACATAAAGAAGAAAACACACGATATATATCAATATACATTTTGTTAAATATTTTATACTAATGGCAATTTATACTTTGATATGTTATTTTAATATATAATCACATTAGTATATATATATTTTTTATTATAGTTTAATAGTTATTAATTTTTATTATAACTAATTCATATGAGCATTATTCTTATGATTTAATAATATTATTCTAAATATTTTATAAAAAATATTTATATTCCAATTACGTATTAAATGTTAAGAAGAGATAGAATTATATAGTACATTATACTTTGTATTCCATGAAATATTATTGAATTTTTCAGATGTTTCCATAAATATCCATACATTTTTCGCATTATTCCACATATTTATTATCTTTTTTATTCCGTATCGCAAGCACGAATTATATGGGATAAACTAAATTATAATTACCAAAAAAAATATGCATTAATAAAAAATATTTTTTGACACAATATTTATACCTTTCTTGGAAGGGAAATGAGTTAGGAAAATTATTTTATTTAATTTAATAAATATAATATAATCATATTTAACCTTATATAGAATGGATGATAAAAGAGGTATTATTAGTATTATAAGAGTTGGAATTATAATAAGAGCTGCCATATTGGTTCTAGGAGGAGGTGATAATGAGTTGAATTCATTGTTAATAGGTGACTTTTTGCAATTAACATTGATACACTTATCTATTATTTTATTTATGTTACTATATAATGTTCTTATGTTTTCTAATATATTACATGAATTAGGTTTAACATAGTTTTTACATGTATTTATTTTTTCTATGTATGTCCTATAGCATTCGTGAACACATTTGCACGTATGTTCTTCACTTAAAGACATTAGGGTACATTTTTCTATATCTTTAAACTTAGTAAACCAATCAGATATATCTTCGGGTTTTATCCATAATTCATCGAAGATATTTATATCAGGTGTTGGTTTAAACAATTTACCAATACCAGTTTCATAATATTCCTTGATTAATTCATTATAAATTTCTTTTATATAGTTACTATCCTTTCCTGTTTTTTGGTAATTTTTGTACATCCAATAATACAAGTATATTAATCCTTCTTTTATTCTTGATGCATTACCAAGTTCGTCATGTATTTTAAATAAATATGCCACTAATTTATCGCATATATTTTCTATAACCTTGAAATACTTCAAATTTTGCCTTTTATTTTTAATTTCATTAGAAATAGAATTGTGTGTAGCATAATTTTCTATTACATCTCCTTCCATAAATTTTTTATACTCAGGAAAATGTGAACTTAATAATTTAAACTAAAAATGAGAAAAACATAATAGTATTACAGATATTATATTGATATGATGAATTCTTTAAATTATATATACAAATGGGAGTGTTTAAAATGTAATCTATAATATACATTATAATAATTTAAACATACAACGTCTTCCTCCATTTAATACAATATTACGCACTTTTGTGAGTGATTGAAAAAAATATATATTAAAATATATGAGGATACAAACATTAATATTTAAATATATAAATATGTTTTATTAAATAATATTTTACTTCTCCTTGTTGTAATATTAGAATTTATTTAAGAGTACCTTATATTAGGTTAATTATTCATTATTATACAACTTAAAATATAGTACCACAAATTTTTGGCATAAAAAAAAAATATTCGTAATTTCATTAATGAAGAAATAAAAAAAATAAATATACATAAAAAGAAATTAATTGTTCGTAAATAAAATATAATATAAGTGACATAATACTTTATAAAAAAATTTATTAATATATAAAATTAAAATACTAATATTTACGTGTATGTTGAATAACATGTGTAGTTTTTTTTTCTTTTCTTCTTTACTCATTATATTAATATAATATATATAATTCAACTTGAATGTGGTTGTACACTGACATAAATGTATTTTATAATTTTGTAACTTTGTTGTTCTTGCATAAAAGTTTATTGAATCTTAATTGCACATATTATGTAAATTTACATGAAAAATATATACATATATTACTTTGCGCGTGCTAACGATTTAATGCGTATTAATATATAATAATTATTTACTATATTATGTAAAAAAATATTTATACATTTACTTCTAACTTATATACTGTAGGTATATTATGATATAATGAAAAAAATAATTTACAAGAATTGAGTAATTCTATTTCTTCACATACATATAATGTAGAATATACCATTACAAATTGAGAATTACACAAGTATAATAGTTATATCTATTATTTATTCTTATTTATTCTTCAGGAAATATAAATTATTAATAATATATTCATATGTTTTGTTAGAAACTATAAAATATATAACCCATGAATATATATATTATTCAAATTTTAATTAATTTTGAATATAATTTTTTTTAAAACATTTGTTACTTTCATTTCTATCCTTAATTTTTGACTTTGTATCCGATTAAAATTATATTTTCTAAGCAATATCTATGCATCATTTAAACTAATTTTTTTTTTTAAATATTTACAAAATATGCTATATTGTATAAATTAAATATGAATCTTTTTTTTTTTTATTCTCATTAGACTTCTATTATTCTAAGTATAATCAATATAAAATGTTTCTAAAGCTCTGACTTAAATTGCATATTTAATATTGAATTTTTCTGCGTAACGTTGCAATATATAAATTCATTTCATGAGATATTGTAAAATATTATACAACCTTTTATTCTTTAGTTATATATATCAAGAGGAGTTTTATTTTTGTTAACGTTAGAAATATGTAAAAATATATTTATAATTCGACATTTAGATACTATATAATTATAATATTAATTAATATTTTACTATTAAACTTTTTATGTTATAATTTATATTTTAGTGCCTTATCTACAACGAAAACATATGTAAATTTCATATTTTTATGTAGTATATACCTCAAATTTCGCAAATAACACTATGTATAATATATTGAATTTTTACTCTTATATTAATTAGTACTATTTATAATTCATTAAAATAATTGAAAATATTAATGCATATTTATATCACTTTTTTAATTAATTCTCATATGCCGTTTTCTAAAATAATAAGATTTATATATATATTAATTATAATAAAGGTAACATAATACAGAAATATACATAAGATATTAATTCTTTTGGATATAAATTGGATTAATATTTAGGCTCGGAAAACTATATATTCAATATAATTTACAAATCCCCAAATTACCTTTAATTGAGATATATCAAAAATAGTACATTTAATTTTATTATTATTGTATTAAAATAAATTATTCTAGAAATATTTGTGTATATGGATGTCGTATAAAACTAATATAACAAAAAAATCAAAAGAGCTGGACATGCAATACATAAATATAATAAAATTTAATATAATTCTACATATATACTTGGATTTGTAAAAGGTTCAAAGGCATAATAAAATAAATATAGAAACAAATAAATATAAAATCATTTATAGAATTATTTTATAAATGCATCTATCCTATGTTTATATTTCTCTTATCTTATATGAATTATTAAGAATTTACATAGGAAATTATAACACGCATATTTATATATATCTAAAAAACTTTAATTATATATATCATTCATATATTAGTTTAAAGCAATATACTTTTTTTATATATGATTTATAATATAACAATTCCGTGCTGAGTTCAATTATAATGTATCAACGTTACATGAAACATCTACTGAATACAATAATTATTTTCTATTTTTTGTGGTTAATTTATATTTTATGAATGTTATGCACATTTTGATAAGTGTCTCACACTAAACATACAGATGATATGCTTCAATTCTTTTATTTAATTCATTCTTTGTATCCTAGATAGGAATGAATACGCATATACATATATGACCAATAAGTATATATGTAGCAAACTTATTTAATAAATTTAATCCTTTAGTGGAGTAAAATATAATAGATATATATAATATTAAAGCGCAATCTTGTAGATAAGAAGTAAAAATTGAAAAATTGTTCTTATAATTATGAATATACAATAGAATTAATCTTTATATATATAAATAAGATGATGAGTTTTACGCAAAATTTTCATTTTCTCCTTATATATCCTCGGAATTTATGTATAAATATTTTTATTCATTTGTATATAAATTCCACTTTAAGTATGTATCTGTTCACAATTTATGTAAATTTTATCAGACAATCTCCAATTGCAATTATGTTTTATATTGATTAATTATATATATATATAATTAATCAATATAAAACATTAGTAAAGTAATTATTGGCATTAATTAAAAATAAAATTTTAAAAATATTTGTAAAATTTTTAAGTAAAAATTAATATGCATTAATTTTGTAAACATTTTTTCATGTCCGTCGGGATAAAATTGTATTATAAATACTATTCTGAATTTTAATTATAACATTTTCATTAGCCTTATTTTATATGTAAAAATTATATAATGTTTTTATTTTAAAATCAGTAATGTTTTTAAAAAATTATAACAATATGCCATTTATATACTTCTTTTAATATGTCTCCTTTTTGAATTTATTTTATACCCTTTTATTAACAGTATATTATACCATTAGCTTTATGCATACTTCATAGAAAAAAAAGAGTAAGTATATAAGTAAAAAAAAGAATAAAAATAATATAAAGTACTTAACTTTCACTTGTCAACAAAGGAGATTACCAGTTCACCACAAAACATATTATAAAAACTATTACCTTTATAATAAATATATAATGTGTATAGATAATTTATTCTATTTTTCTCATATGTAAAATATAATTTTTGTAAAATATATGTAATATATGATTATTTATAATTATTATTAGTTGAAGTAATAGTAAATATGGCATAATATAGAAAATTCCTTATGAAGCATAATATATTTAAAACACTTACATTCATTGGGATATTTTAGCAATATTATTAGAATTATTAATAAAATGAATCGATTAATAAAATGTGGAAAATAATATATTATCATTTCTTAATTATATTTTTTCGAAAAAAACTATGTAAAATTAATTACTAAATAAAATCATACTTTTATATAATATTATAGAAATATAATACAATTGTGATGGATATCCACGAATGTAATTATTATTCAAAATATTATATATATTTATTAAAATAAATTTTTATTATTGCAACTAATATAAAAAAATTATATGTCAATATAAAAAATAACTTGATTATCTAAATAATTTTATATTTTATTAACATGTAAAACGTATCACATTTTTTTTTAAGATTTTTTCTTTTGAAAAAACAATTTAATTTTTTCATGATAACAATGTAATTATCGGTTTTTCTTAGATAAATTATGAATATATTTAATAATCCTTTAAATATCTATATATATATATATATATATATATTTTTTTTACTTAATCAAGCTCAAGTATACTATCGAAATTGAAAAATGTTAATTGATTACTCTAACTATCTCGTTTACCAATCTGTTCACCCGTAATTTTCGAATAAAATATATCCTGAGAATAATATATTTTATGATAAAACTAGTCACAATAATAAAACATATCATACTTATTATCATTTGTAATACATTTGGATATTTTAAGTGGTTTATTTGTATTCCAATCTAAATCCGTGTTGTTCCACTTATTTATTAATCTTTTTATTCGATTGCGAATGTATGAATTATATCTAGTAAACTAAATTACAAAAAAAAAAAAAAAATAGTGAATTAAAAATATAAACTTTTAAGTTATATTTCCATATATTTATATATTATTTCTAATAATGTTGTATATTATATATAATAACAATGCTAACCTTATAAAAATCCAATAACAAAAGTGATATTACTAATGCAAGAACTATTGGAATTATAATAAAAACAGAAATATTATTTTTATAAGACGGCATTATTACTTTTTTGGTAACTCTATTAGTTTCATTTTAAGCTTGTTCTTTATATTCTTTTGCAAAATTATATAATGCATTATATAAATTATCTCCTTTTCGGGATATGTCATTATCATATATATTATAAAAAATATTATACAAGTCAGTTATAATATTAATTTTTATTAATTAAGAATCATTTAAGTTAACCTTCCTGTAATATTTGTACATATACTTTTTGGATTATTTCCAACAGCAATCAAATCATTATAAGTACTATTAGTTTCTCCAATTATATCATTATGTTTAAATTCTTTGTACAACCAATAATACAAGTAAGAACAAAGTGCTTCTATATCAATTTCATTAGAATTTCTCACTATATTAGCTGAAAATGTCAAAGCTGCATTGCATCTTTTATGATTGAATTTATCACTTAATTTTGTTCGTGCCCCAAAAGTGCCTTTTTCGCAGTGAGTTCGGTAAATCATCGGACTTTTTATATATTCTTCCATAAATTTATTACATTTCGGAAAAGGTTTTAATAAGCTATACTAAAAATGAATTGTGA